GCCGCCGCCGCCGCCGGGCGGGTCGCTGAGGGGCGGGCCGGGCCGGGCCGGGCCTCGCGCGGCTGCCACGGCCTCTGGCGACGCGCCACCCGGGGAGCCCGAAGGCAACGCGGGCCGAAAGGGCGGGCGGGAGGGCGGCGAGACGACGCCGGCCGGCCGGCGACACCACCGAGGTAGCACAGCGGGCGCGCGGGCGGGGACCCGACACCACCGGGCTGCGTGCGCGCTCCCGCGGAGGGGCGCGCTCCCGCCCGCGGCGCTCCGAAGGCTGGGCGCGCGCGCTCGCGATGCGGAGCTTGCGCGGGGGGCGCGAGTGCGCAGGCGCGGCGCGCCTGGGCGGGAGGGGCCGGCAAGAGATGCGGCAAACCCGGCGCGGCGGAGCGGGGAGAGGGGGACTCTGCTGGCCGGCGGGGAAGCGGTCCCGCGTGGCGCTCCCGGAGCCTCCCTCGCGCGGCGGCGCCGCCTTCGTGGGCGCGGGTCCCTCCGGCCAGTGGGAGGCGGCCCGGATGCCTCGGGCGGTGCGCGGCGATCCCCCCCTCGCCGGGCCCGGGTCCGGCCGAGGGGCCGGCGCGGGAGGCCGCCTCGCCGCGGGGGCCCTTCCCGGCTGCGCCAGGTGCGGCAGCCGCACGGAGGGGCTTCCCGGGGGCGGCTCGCACCGGCACCGCACTCGCCGGACCCCCTTGCAGCCGCACGGCGGACACAGGCGGGCCCGCCAGGCCACCCCTCTGCTGGCCGCCCCGCGCCTCCAGCTAGTCGGAAAACGCGGAAGAAACGCCCCACTCGGCCTGGGCAGCGGCGAAACCCCCCAGGCGCTCCGGGGCGCTTTGGAAAAGAACAGGGTCGTTCTCGGGTCTCCTTTCAAAATTCATATTCCCTGACCGGGAATCGAACCCGGGCCGCGGCGGTGAGAGCGCCGAATCCTAACCACTAGACCACCAGGGAAGGCGCTGTACCTATTCGCCTACGTTGCTAATCACCAGGCTCCGCTTTCGGTTCAGCTAAGGAATCACTCCATAATTGCAACATCTGCGAAGAAGTATTCTGCTCCTGCATTTCCTTCTCGGCAAAGCCGCTGAAAATAAAGAGGTACTGCTCTGCCCGTCAAGAGTTGTGTGGGAAGCGACTCTGAAAAGACACGAGGGAATGCGTGCGTTTTGGGCATGCGTCTGAATGAGGCGCGTTTGTCAATACCCAGGTCTCTGTCAATGCTGCCCGGAAAGGAAGGTCCAGGCCGTTGCAATGCAGACTTAAAAAGTAGACACGGTTTAACCTCGATTGTACTTGCCTTCGGAGTAAAAAGGACACCAGAGACGTGTTGGAAGGGCAGTGTAGGAGTACCCAAGATTGGCTGAATGGTCAAGAAAGATGCATTGGCCTGATATTTAAAAAGGAAAAAAAAGTTGAGGGCTCCTCTTTTTTCCATTAGTCCAGGAATTTCACATATGTGCTCTCTAACCTTTACAACAGCCTTGCAAGGTAGGCTGTAGCATGGAATGCCAGTGCAGCCTAGCTGTTCCCACTGTCCAAAGCAACTGAAGCTATCAGTCTGAGCACTCTTACTCGGGAGTAAGCCCCGCTGAGTTCAGGGAGATGTTTTTCTAAGTAAGCATGTTCCTCATCCCGACTGTTGCTCCAGGCTGGTCCATCACTGTGGCGAAGCATTAGACTGGGGATTCAAAGGATGCAGGTTTATTCCCCAGTCAGACACAAATTAACAGCATGACTTTAGGCCAGGGGGCTCTCAGTTTAACCTACCTCACAGGGTTGTTGTGATCATAAAATAGAGAATATGATTATTTCATTTCTGTATCTCCCTACAGTCAAGGTTTTGTGGGCAGTTTGCAACAATCTATTAAACAGGTATTGAAGTACAACAGAAATACGTAACATTAAAAATGCATTAAAAGTTTAAAGTCATTAAAACCATAGAGGTTGGGATCATTGCAAGAGGAAATGAGGCAGGATATAAATATATCTATACAATAGTTGGAAGGGGCGAGCAAGACCATTGGGTCCAACCCCTGCTTGATGCAGTTCCCAAGTTTGAAGATCTTCAGACTGCAGGTGGAGCCACAAGTTTAAATATGGGAAAGGAGCAGTGGGGGGGGGGGGGTTAGCTAATACTCCCTGGTCACAGGCTTTCTACATTTCCTTTCTCTTGCAAGGGGGATATTCCATTGGTCCAGCACATTCCAGGAAACATTTTCCTTCTGTCTTCTGACCTAGTAGCTATCTTCCGTTGGAAATATCTTTTTTAATTAGAATCTGAGTCACTTTTCCACAAAAAGGTCCCTAAAGTGACATAATAGCAAGGAAGAATCTTCCTATAAGAATACCCACCCTGAAATAAGCACTTTCCAGACCTTGTTAGCTTCTGGTAGCAAATGCCGCTCTTGGGGGACCTTTGAAGCCTTAACAAATTTAGGGCGCAGCGACAGTCATGTTTCGCTGGTGCCCTTCTTGTGCCACACCCTTTCGTGGACCTTAGCCGTTTCTTTTTCTTTCATTCACCTTTTTCTTTCATTTCAACACTCACACAGTTGTTTTTCTTCTGCCTGGACTTGTGGACACCCCACACACTGGAGGCAGCGTGCTCCTCCATACCGGAAGGATATTGAAGCGGTCGTGTCCTGCTTGGGGCCTTCCTGAGGTGGCCACTTGCATACTTCGCCTTCCGGGATCAGATTTATGTATCCCATTTGTCTTGTCTCATCATTTCTCCTCACGGCATCTCCGGGAATTCAGATTATGCCAAGGCTCTGCGACTTGGATCACGCCTCTCCGTTCCAACAGCCTCCCTCCCACTGCTCGGTCACAGCACCTCTTGCTGAGCACATGAGAAGGATCAGATCAAAGGCCTGCCTACCCTGGTGGAGAACCTCCAGGTGAAGAACATGGGGCTTGATGGGGAGGGTTGTTCTCAGCAGCTGACAGGATCTCAGCAAAAGAGCAGATGCTTTGCGTGGCAGAGATGCCGGAAACAATTCCCAGGTAGGGCTAGAAAAGGCCCCCATCTGGATTTCCAGAGCAGGGGAGGGCAACTTGTGTCCTTCCTAATATTCTGGCATCAGACCCAGTCAGAAAAGTCAATGGTAAAGGGAAGACGGGGGCTGCAGGCCAAAACATCTAGGGGGACACAGGCTGCCCAACCCTGCCCTGGAAAGACCCTGCCACATAGGCAGCATCGAGCTAGATGGACTGATGCTCGCCCTTTGAGGTTCCTGTGCTGCTTCATAGGTAATTTTCTAGGGTATCCTGCCAAATTCATATGTAACGGACAGACCATGGGCACCTTCCAGAGCCGTTTTGTGTGTTCAGCCCCCGAGTGAGCTAGTTGAGGGTAGCTCCGTAATATCTGTACCCGGACACTACAGGTTAATCATGAGTTAGACAGTCCACACTTAAACTATAACTGGTACTTAGGTAAACCATGGGTTGTTCAACCACAATTAACTTAGTGTCTGGGTTTGGATGTCATGTAGCACCCCAACAGGAACTGAATATTCCAAAAGGGTACAGACTGTGCTGCAGGAAATAATGGGTTAACACAATTTGCTGCTATTATAAACAGCCCTTCTGTTTACAATCATTCTGGACAGACATTACTAGATCCATCCTGAACTGCCCAGTTTTAGCTATTGGGTGGTACAGAAATGTAATTTAAAAATACCTAAAATAAGTTTGTCCAAGCATGTTTAAAGGTCATCTAGGTTGGCGACCGTCACCCTAGTTCACCGCAGTCAGTTAACAGTGCCATGTGCAACGCTGTCTTTCACCTGACAAACTGGTTGTGACACCCTGAGCTCCAACATGGGGAGGTCACTCACAGGTGCTCCTTGCTTATCAATTCAGGACAGACCCACGGGCCGTCCCAAGTTAAAAAATGGCATCTGGCTTACATGGCCTTTCTTGTGCCAAGATCTCAGTCATGGGGAAGACTGGAAGACTGGGTCAGCTGTCTTCAGCAGATGCAGAACTTCAGCAGATGAAAGTGGCAGTACAGGAGCCAAGCCCAGCCAGGCATCAAAGAGGACCACGCACGCACGCACGCACGAACACTAGGCAGGCTGTAGAAGCTCAAGTATGAAGCCACACGCTTTGCTTTTCAAAAATGAATTATTTTATTGACAAAGTCTTCCCCAAATGGTCACCTGTACAGGAGAAACAGCCCCATCTCTTCCAACAGCTCCCTGTCCCAAGGACCCTAGCCCTGCTCCAAATTCCAGCAAATGACACACTCGCACCCTGCAGATTCTCTACATCTAGTGCGCCAGGTTCAGAGTATGGCAGTCAATCGTCAGCAAAACAGGACACGGGGAGAGCAGTACACACGGCATGTGTCAAAACTTGCTTCTCAAGAGGGCTGGCAAGTGGAGGCCAAGAAATGCAGCCTGAAGGCTTCTGGGGTGCCGATGCCATGAAGCACTTGGTTTTCTCGATATGTGTCTGGGGTGCTTATGTCCCCCTGAGCCGTTAAGGCACAGAAAAGTTTTGATAAGTGAGCAGGCACCTCTGCCTGGGAGCGAAAAGGGTGAGAACCGTTTCTCAGCTCCCTAAGTACAAAAGCAGAATTGAGAGAAACCTGGAAGACACAACACAGACTAACGGGTAAAGAAGCACGGAAGGTGGGCGTCTTGTCACCACCTTCAGCGCACAGAAGGAAGAGCTAGTCCAAGCAGAAAAGAGAGAGGCACGCCTCCAGGACGAGGGCTGTCCCTGATACGCAAGTTCTTCCCAGAATGGATGCAGGGGCCAGCTACTGCCAGAAGCTCCTAGCGGCTGACACCTGCGGGCAGAGAAGCAAGTTCTACACAACTGAGAAAGAGAGCACACAAGCAAACATGTGCAGTCACGTGCCACTGAAAGGAACACAAGACTCGGCACATCCGCATGCAGTCACTAACGTCATATGCTGAACCCCAGTGCTTCGACCACTCGTGACCCCCAGCCCCCTCCCCAAAATCGTCCACACTTCTGAGATATAAAAAGGCTATAAACGAGTAAAGCAGGTGGGGATGTAAGGCCCTGTGTTTCAGCTTCCGCATCCAAAAGGTACATTGCCTCTAAATGACGATGCTAAAAGCTAGCTATGTCGTGAAGTCCACTGCATTCCAAAAAAATAAAGATTCTGAGATTCATTAAAGCTAGAGAATCAGTGTAGCAAGCTAGGCAGTTGCTAAATATGAGGTTCCTCGCTGGGAGCCCTGAAGAACGGGAGGAAGCATCTCTAACCCCTCCATGCACATTTGGTTATATATCTTGATGGAGACAGAAAATTAAGAATGCCCTCCTGGCTGCTCCAATCGCACAGGGAGCCGTGGCAGCTGGAGAGCCAGCAGGCGGCATAGGATGGGAGGGGGAGCCCCAAATTGGCACTTGGGGTCCCATGTGCAGCCAGTGCATCCTGTGACTTACTTCCCATATTCCATAAAGACATGAAGTGTTGTCTGCACGTGGACGGGGAGGGGAGGGGAGGGGAGGGGAGGCGAAGGAGAGGAGTGATGCCAGAAAGGGCAGCTGAGGCCAACATTGCAGGATCCCCGTTGCCGGTGCATCTCCCAAAACGGAAGCGCACCAATGTGTTCCATCTAGAAACCTTTAGTGTAAAATATAGAAGTATACCAAAAAACGGTGCGTTGACTTTATTGGACCTGAAGAATCCAGCAGCAAAAAAATGTCTACGTTATGATGGATGGATCTCTCTCTTCAGAGTGGGGGCGAGGCCCCCGTCCTTGTCTTCTGTCTCGCGTGTTGGAAAGGACAGGGGCAGGGTTCTGCAAGCCGAGTGCTGCGGTGCCGCAGACCTAGAAGGGCGCGCCGTCCTGCAGGGGCTTGTCGCCGGACGCCGACGGGGAGTGCAGCTCACCGGTGCCGTTATCCCTGCCGCCCACCACTTTGGACTGGGCAGAAGGCAAAGGGGGAGGGGAGAACAGGGTAGAGCAGAATCCATCATTCACTCTGGCACTGGGCAAGTGGGCGGCATCAGCGCAGGACGGACATCATCCTTCACCTGCCCGCACAGCCTGGCAGGACTCCGCTCTGAATGGGCAATGTCCTTTTCCTGCCACAGGCTCCCGCTCACGGATGTAAGGAAGCGGCTGACTGAGCAGCAAGGAGAAACGCCCCTCTCAGCAGCTTGGAGGGCTGCAGAAACCTCACGAGAGGAGATGCCTATGCAAAGACAGACTAGAGAAGGCTGCCGAACAGAAACAGTCTCGCCAAAACTAATGCATTTCAGGAGAGCACACGCGTGCGTGTAGGAAACGTGGGGCTGGCAGAGCACAGACTGCGGTACACAAGCAGCGCAGCAAAGCACGGGGCTTTAAGAGGAGTCAAGGAGAGCTGCCGAAATAGGGGAGACCCCCCCCCCCTTTCCTAGAGGTCTGCCAGGTCACAGCAAGGCTACCATGGGCAAAGCAATTTTGCTCCACAGGCCCAGGTTCCACATAACACATCCTTTTAATCGCCACTCACTGCATTGCAACATGGGGCTTCTGCAGTTTAATTCTGCATCGGTGACACTTCTTTGCTGTGTCCCATATCAGTGTCTGGTGTTCCACATCCCTTGAGTGTCTTCCCCAGACCTTGTAATAGGTAAATGATACTTCCAACCTCTTATAAAGGTGGGCAACTCTCTCATGTATCTGAATGAAAATTCATTTCTCCTATACACTGGAGAGAGGAAAATTACCTTTATGGTTCCAACCCGATCTTCAAAAGACTTGAAGGTTGCAGAGTTTCTTTAAAAAAACGAAACAAAAGAAAGGACTAGTTAGGTCAAATAATAAGTTATGACAGATGGTTAGAGATTTTAACTCAGTTTTCGGATGGGCAACCACGAGGCACTCGGTCATCACTGAACAGCTTTCGTAGCCTCTGAAAAGCCCAGGTCAATTGTGACTACAACAAATTCTTGGTTCTACTATACACATTTGGAGAAATAAAAACATGTTTTGATTCATTTCAGAGAAATAATGATGAGCACAAAAGCTGCCGGGTTGCATATCCAACTCATGGCCGGTTAAGAGCTTTCGTTCCAGCAGGAAAAAATTCAAAAGTGGGACACGCTGCCCCCAAAATGCAGCCCTGAGGCAAGTACCCAGAGACCCAGCAACACACAAAACGCATCGGTGGCGCCTGCTGAAACGTGGCTCCTTGCGCCATCTGTCTCAATTAGGCGAACAGGGACTTCGCTCACCACTGAGCTGCTGTTCCCGAAGAACCACTTCAGTTGGCGGAACAAGCTTAGTCCTGCCTTACTTCTATGTTCCGACACCTGACACACAGGTGCTGCTGGCACTTTTTGGGGGTCAGCCTTACAAGTCTGGGAGGTTACCATAACTGCTGCTTGCCGGCCTCTTCATGATGCCATCTGCAGGCACGGCGCATGACCTTCAGCCAAGCCTGGGGCGGGGAGCCTGCTCTTATGGAAGGACAGGTCGAGCAGGGATTGCAGCTGGCGGGGGGGGGGGAGCACCCACATCACATTGTGGGTGGAGCCACTAAGCTGGGTGGAGCTTGCAGGCTGCATAGCTTTCTTGATCGCCTCATCCCCTCCCACTCTGTGCCACAGTCAAAGAGGACATGCTGAACTATCCAGACGAGAGAGAACGGCTCGTGGCAAGAGGTCCAGCATGCACGCGGCCACCGATGCCCCCTGCTGAGGAGACCAGACCTGGCGATGGCACTGTGTGTTACCGTTTTTACTCAACCTGGTATCCTCCAAGTATTTTGGACTTGCAGTTCCCATCATCGGCAATGGTCAGGAATGCTGGAAATTGTAGTCCAAAGCACTGACGGGCACCGGGTGAGGGAAGACCACCCACCCAATATCCAGAGCTCATTACTGCAATGTAATCCAAAGAGGACTGCCTTTGAAGAGGGTGAGGCAGGGTCCATCAGTCCAGAAGGCAGCTGCCAGGACTCTGGCGTCATAACCCACCATCCCGAAGAGAGCTGCATGTGTTGCCAGTCCGTTTCCAAGCACAACCCCAAAGCTGCAGCTCTAAATGGCTTGGGCCCAGGGCACCTCAGCAACCCCCTCCTTTCATGTGGCCTGACCTGCTCTACAAAGTCAGAAGAGGCCCCCTGCCAAGCCCCACCAAGGACCTATCTAAGTGGTATGAGAGGGACCTTCTGCCTCTGCAGAAGTTCCGTGTAGCTGCCCCCACTCCTGTTACTATGATAAAATACCGAAAAGTATTTTATCATGGCAAGTTTATTGCAGGATGCTCCAAATCAAGTTTTGGTTTCACTGCCGGTTGCTTTCTTCTTGGTTTGTGTTTTATGTTGTGCCAAATTGTAATTCCCAAATACTGAGTCAGTTTGAGTGCTGCTTTTCTAGCAGTAAGGAGGAATATCAATGTTTCAACAAATGATATATTCAAGTTTATATTTTTAACTGTCCTTGGTTGCTAGATGCCCCAAACAGCCATGCTGCAAGGTAGTATATACATTCAATATTATTAATACAACCCAACTTCATCTTAAAAATGCAGATGTCTAACACTGCACCTAACAACTCCATTCTACCCACTGTGACTCTGGCAAAAACGAAGGCACCCTCAGAAAAAGAAGAACAAAGGCCGCGCAGAAGAGATGGGACTTTTGCTACGTTACCTCATTGCAGGCATACTTATCGAGTGACGAATGGAGTAGCTGCTACTCGGAAGCATTAAAGGGGAAATGAGGAAATATTAGACGCCATTAAAATCCAGGAGACCTTTAATGAGACCCAGTCATTCTCGCCACCCTGTTCACGATTCATGTACAAGCTGCGAAGCTTCCAGAAGTGTCCTGAGCACAGGATTGGGTCATTGGGTGAGGTATGCCGGTTATACAGAAACGCTTGCTGCTTCATTCCTTTGCTGCTTCTCCTAACACGCGAGACTATGCATTTTAAAAAATGGAACTCATACTAGAAGGGTCTCCGCAGGCTTAGCTGCTAGATCCTACTCCTCATCCTCTCTAAAAAAAATCTTCCCCAGGAGGTAACAGAAAAGGGTTTAGAATTAAAAGCCAAGGATCTTACAGCTCTACACAAGCAGCCTCCTTGCTGATTGGAAAGAAACTGGATGCCAAATGTCACTACTTCTCTTGGCAGATTAGGAAAAGGCACACTTAAAACAATCCTCAGGCAGTCGGCCACATCTGAAGTGCACCAGGTTGGGGGAACTAGCCCTACAGCGTCAGTTCCCCGTTATTTCAAAACATGCTCAGCAGTTTATAGGGTAACATAACCAAGGAAGGTCACCCCCCACACCCAAGGCGTTCCCAATCTAAATACGCCAATGAGAAGCCGTCTAAGGCAGCATTTTAGCTGGACTGCCCATTACACTTGCAAGAGGGAAACGCTACATGAGGCGGAGGGAGCGGCATGGCGCTTGCCTCAGAACCCAGCTCTTGCAAAACACCACTCGTATGAGCGGAAGCCCTTTCCATACTACGCTCTGCCCAGGAGACCTGGGAGAGCTGCGTCTGGCCCACGGTCAAGGCCAGGAGCTGGGCCCACACGAAGCGAGAGGCACCACTGTCAGCACCACAAAGCAGCTGCGGCAGCACCAACGTCCGTGGGAGCAGCCCCTCTGGCCCAGTCAGTGGTGCTCTCTGCTGTCATCTATTTCGGGAGGGGAACAGATTCAAGTCGGCACTTAATTTGGCACCACCTGATGCGTGCGTCAGACACCGCGACATCTCCTTGCTTAATTAAACTGGCCAATTGTTCCAACTGCAATACGACTAACGTCCCTTATTCATCTGCTGGGCAATGCCCAGGGGCTGTTTCCTCTGGGGAAGAGGTAGTGACTCAGATAAATTTTGTGATGGAAAGTTCTTTAATATTCACATGTCCTTTTGACCGATCTACCTATCTTCAACACACGATCAATGCAAATAGATCTTCTGCACCCTTTTGACAGCTGGAAGATCACTGCTGCGACACTGGAAGGATAACTGGCCACCTGGAATAGTTCAATGGCTGGAACATCTAGTGGAACTTTTGATTTTTGAAGGGGTGGCTATTAGGGATGATTTATGAAAGGCCACATGTATGGATGCTCGGGCAGCCTTTGCTGAAGTTTATGCATTATCACCTTTACCAATAGCTCACTGTCTATAAAGTACGTGGGGATATATATGTAGTGTTATCCATAATACTGAATTTTATGTTACATTTTTATCTCGGAAAACTAACATCTTATTTGTTTTTGTTCATCGTTATCTCATCTGCACTGCTGTGGTTTAGGGTTTGTTTGGAAACACCTAACAAAACCCTAAATTAAAAAAGAACAGCCTTGCTACACCGGAATTCCCCAGCAGTCATTCACCCAAAACCATCTGGGAGAAGCTCCATGCAAGCATGCAGTGAATCCTTTCTCGGTGGTGATGCTTCCAGGGTGGGTGAGAGCGTAAAAACCGCCTCCCTTGGGGGTTAGCACAGTGGCCCGCCCAGCCCAGCCGCTTCTCAGAGCCTTGGATTTCCTCTGACTTCACCGGGGCAAAACAGGGGGGAAAAAAGTCAAGGCAAAGCAGCGTTTTGTGTCTGAACTGCTAGGCATTTGTAAGCGCGGACACCTAAATGGGCAACGAGGCAGCCGCTGGCTGCTGAGAACCTCTCTTTTGGGAGAAAGATACTTTGAGCGCTTGGAGTCAGGCACAAAGGTGCAGGCAGCATCCACAGATGGCTCCAGAGGCGTGAGGAAGAGGAGGCGGCGGCTGTTCTGCCCTTCATGACTCCCTTCTGCCTCTTTCAGCTGAGAGGCAGTCTCACATTCTGGAGCTTGTGTACATGTCTGAAAAGCACCTTGTGTGACCAGATTCCCTGCGTATGTCAGGCCACACAAAGACTTACCTAAAAGAATGAGAGAAAGGATGGGCCCTAGACGAATCCAACGGCAGCAGAAAGTGAAAGTAGTGAAAAAAACCATTAGGAATACATTTCAAACCCACCAGAAGTGCACACAACACCAGGCACACACCACTGAAACGCCAGGAGCACACACAAAGGGGTGGGGGACAAGGAAAGATGTCGGGAGAGGCTATGCCACCAGCTGGACCTTCCCTATGTTGGCATTCAGGTTGCAGAGCCAAACAAAATTACCCTTTCATTTATCTCGGCGCATTCATGGCAAACCCTTCTAGAAAACCCCAGGGAAAAGTCAGCGATGTCCCGCCTTTCCATGGGTCAGAAGCACGGCTGGCAGGGGCCGATTATGGCGAGCCTGCTCTATTGCCACTTCACGCGCAGGACGCTTCGCCTGAGCTGCCCATGGCAGGGCGTGGGGTTCCCTCCAAACTCAGCGCTAAGGGGTAGGAGGCATGGAAAAAGCGGGATTAGAGATGTGGCAGTAGCCTAGCCATTCCCTTCAGGAACCTGCAACGCTGTGGCGGGAAGCCCGCCGATCCGGCTTGCAGAGGTGGAGGAGGAGCTTCCAGCTGGGGGAAAAGGGGGAACACGAAGGCAGGAGCCGGCCTCTCAGGAGAGGCGGCTCACAGGGAGCGTGTTCGGGAACCTTTGGCAAGACAGACGCCACACCGTCAGGAGCATGGGGGTACTGCAACACTCTCGGAACTGGGGTGCTAGCTAGCACTTGCTTCCAAAGATTGTTAGAGGACGATTGTCGCAACACTCCACGTGTGATAAATGTCAGAGCTCAGGTCCAATTCACACCAAATACAAAAGAAGCAGCCGCCATGTTGTTACGGCGGGCATTTGCGCCACAGTCTCCGGTGGGAGGGTGTGCATCTGACCGTGAAATTGGCCAGTTCAGCAGGGCCATGACTCCAATGCATAAAGGAAGACAGGGAAAACAAGCTGCATGTTTCGAGCCCTTTACAACGATTAACTACCCGTGATAGGGTTGAATTGAGAGGAACCAATGCTTTAGCCCCATTGAAATCAGTGGGACTAGATTATGGCTAATCTCCTCTAGATCAAGGTCAATGAACAGGAACAGTTTAATGCGATAGGAAACATCTAGGCCAGTCATCCCCAATAAGGGGCCTTCCGAACGTGTTGGGCTACAATTCCCAGCCCGTGCTGGACGTGGCAGCTGGGAATGCTGGTGTCATGAGCTGCACTGCCTCCCTCCACCAAACGCAAGCACACAAGCCTCGAGCTGCTTCTTTTGCAGAATGCTCTTCATCGTTTGACGCAGGAATTGTCCAGCCATGACCCCAGGCTTGCCCAAAGCAGTTTGCTGGCCCCCATCTGGCGATTATTACCCAACGCTCCCCGTACAAACCCGTCTGTGTGCCTTTAGCTGGGCTTCCCCCTGGCGATTCTGAGCCCCAGCAACAAAACTGGCACAGCACACGTCCTGTAGGCACATAGCCAGGGGGCCGCCATCACACTGACTCACAACTCGAGGGAACTGTGGCCCAGTGCCTCGGCTAGGCACCAGACTGTGGAAGGCTGCTCTGCATCAGGAGAGGGCAACTTGTGGTCCATCATATATTTTGACTACAATTCCCACCACGCCTCACCATATGCCAGCTAGACGTGACGGGAGTTGTGGGCCAAAGCCTCTGAAGGGCCGGGCCCTTGTCAGCATATTAGGTTAGAGGCTTCTCAAGTGTGTGAATGCAAACTGAAGGATGCTTCTCTTGCCTGGATTTGACCAAGACCAGATGCCATCCTTTGACCTCCACCTATATCTTCTTCACTAACCTTTCCCCCCCATTAAAGCATTTTAAAACAGTTAAAGTTAAAACAGTAGATTCTGTTGTGAGCCGTCCAGAGACACAGAGTAATTGGACGGGCTAGAAATATCCCAAATAAATAAATAAAGCAGCTAAACTAGAAAGCCCCTCCCATGAGCACACTTCAAAGCACACCATCAAACAGAGAAAACTTTTTGGTCCTCAGGAGAGAGAAGAGAGAGACAGCACAATCCTGGAGATGCGACATTAGAAAGAAGAGCAATGAGGCTGAATAGAGACCATCTCTCTTCCACTCAGAAGAAAGGGGTTCGTTACAAAAATTAGTCTCTGATCACATAAATTGGGCCGGGCAGCACGTGGAATGTCCTCGCACCTGCAGGAGTTTCTGCGGGGCCAGGGACTGGCAGCAGCCCTTGTTCTCTTACGGAGAGCGGAGGGGAGCGTGTGGAGACCATGAGGGTGCCACAGAAAGGAGCACCTTCCTCTTCCATGGGCTGCAGCTTACAGGGATTGTGGGGCGGGGGGGGCGGGGAATCAACATAGTGTCACTCCTTGAAATTCACCTAGCGAAGGGACAGCGTGAGGGGATGGAAGCTCACGCAACCACACAGTCTCATTCTGAAGACCTTTGCTTTTCGCTAGCCATCATCTTTTAAAAGGCATTCCTGCTTTCAGATGAGGCTTGAGTGCACGCTCCCTTTAAGGATAAGCAATTCCAAATGCATCACAACTCAAGAATATTACAGAAGGTGGCACAAAACTATTCCACCTCAGGCATATCTTGCTTATTAGCACAACTTATCGTTTTAATCCTGCTTTCCTTTCAAATGTTGTCTGATAAGGTCACATGGGCTCCACAGTATGGTAAAATTTAAAAAAGACCACTTCTTTGCAGTTGAAAAGTTTACTGATCTAGGGTATGAGCCTATGCAAGTTTAAACAGAAAAAAAGGCCAACTCTTGGCATGTCTTTTTTCTGTTTAAATGTATATAGAATGGCACCATTAGTTTCTTAATATTAAGTAGAAATCGTTATATTAAGATTTAAAATGTAAATTGCAACTGATAAAACAGAAACAACATACATTTTGTATATGAGTTACTTCAGTGGTCAGGGAAATAGTGAGAAACGAAAGCTATTAAGTGTGTGTAGTAATCATCTGGCCTATTCAGGCAAATTTGTTGCTTTTAGAAAGAAAAATGTGCCCAAAACAAGCTACTCCACAAGGATACGAAAAGGACCATTGTCCAGAAATCCACATTGACCTTGATGAGCTATTATGTGATCAGAGTTTGTCACACGCTTACCACCCAGATATTCCCAGCCAGAGGGGGAAGGAAGAGTTCCTGGAAGAACGAAGGGCGTGGTGAGTTAAGGACTGAATTCTACTTTGTCCTGCTGAAGTGTTCCCACACATTAAGCCATCTCACGCCACACGACGCTCTACAGGTCAACCGTTTATATTTAGAAGAACTCTTTAAGTGCAGCAAAGGGGAAGAATCATTTGCTCTTGATGAGGCAGATGTCCTCAGTTTTCCAAGGGCAGCCTTACCTAATCTGGCACCCTCCAGGCACGCAGGAATATGATTTCCAGGATCCCCCAACCAGCAAGTTGTAGTTCAAGGCATCTGGAGGCACCGTTTAGGGGAAGGCTGCCTAGGAAGCTTACTTCCATCCTACATCTGACCAAGCAGTAATTTTGTATTTTTACAAGCCAACACTCCCTTAAAATGCAGCTCCCTGGGAATAAAAGCTTCCCAGATTTTCTATTAGCACAGAGACCCCAGGGTCATTTAGCCTTGTCCTTAGGCCAGCGCTGCAAGGTGATGCAGTCCAAGATGTGGGCTGGTTGTGTTTGCAAATCGACAGCTGCATCTACCGAGCAAATGGATCCTCGATAGACTGCATCTGACTACAGGTGCCATACTGAGAGGGACCCGGGGAGGGTGGAAGGTGCCTCCCCAGTGTGACATCCTGAACACGTTACCGTTACAGCAAGTTCTTGCATTCATAGCCTGTTTCTTATTTAACGTAAACAAACATGGACCATCGGACTGATTAAACATGTTTTGTCAACCAACTAATAAATAGTGATCAAGCATTGTTATTAGTTAGGTATAGCAAGCTGGGAAATATTTGCAAAAAAGTCTTAGGAAGCTACGGAAGTAAATTCTAAGCCACTCCAATACCCAAGTCTTGATAACTTAATTAAAATATCAGTACATGCAGACAATATGGAAGAGTGCAAGGTATTTCTGGGCTTTCATCCTGGAACGCCAGGGGCAGGTGGAATGGCAACATGCATTTTAAATGAAATTGAATTATCAACATACACAGGAGGACTACAGTGGTAAGAATCCAGGTGTACATGCAGCCAAGCTGGATAACCTGCACCTGAGATTGCTTCCTGCCCGGGGTTTTCAGCTATCTAGTACTGTTGCTGTCCTGCTGGATACACGCAAGCGCTTTCACGTGAAGCAGATGAGCGCTACACTAAGGATTCCTCTGATTGACTTACCTCATATCTCCAAGCTTCCGGCTGATCACAGAACCCACATTGGAAAGGGCAGCTGAGGTCTTCTGGCCTGCCTGCGACAGCGTTTCCTGTGTCTTCTTGTAGCTAAGTGAGAGAAATGAGGGCTGTTAGCAGCTGAAGGCAGTAATTAGGAGGAGGACCCAGCCGGAAAAGGAACCGCAGCTGATGCTTGGAAAACAGGGCTGTGGGTAGGAAGGGAGGAGGGTGTGCATTTTGAACCAGGGTCTCCACAAGGGCGATGCCCACTTGAAGATCACAAATGCATCTGTTTTACCCCAAAGGATTCAAGAGGGCTGCTGGCATGCACCATTTCTGCAGTGAAAGGCTAAGTGATGCCAGCGCCATTCTTAAGACATATTTATTACAGCTTGTGAAGCCCAAGAGACAAGTTAGCACGTTTAAGAGGCCATAAATGGCTCAGCTGGTTCATAATGCAATCTTACGTTAAAGCCTTGCTCTTCATGTTTGTTCATTTGCCTTCAGTACCAAATGTTGATTTTTCCCACTCAGAAAATGGGGCCAGGGCAGCTTAGCACTGCAGGTCTGTTAAATTCAATTACGACTTTCCATTTCTTACAGCTCCACACTCTTCCTTTGCACCATATCGAAGCAGATCTTACCGTCTATCAGAAAATTGCCAAGGGGGGAGGGGAAGGGGGGAGGAGAGGAGAGCGAGAGCAAGCGCTTTAAGAACTAAGAGTTTGGGACAGAATTAGGAGTTAAGAACACTGACAAGTTAATCCAGAAAAGAATCAGCATTATTTCTACTCTATAAGGAAAATGTTTCCTATCAGTTACCATTAAACATTACTGTTTTTAAACAGGGACAGTAGCAACACTTTTAAGGACCGAATTAATAGCTACTAGGGGTTTTCTATCACCAATCCAAAGCCTCAAATCTAATTTTAGTCCCAAACGGCACTTTTAGAATGTGTTGAGGAATCCACCTGCATTCCTCCAAGATCACTGCAGATAAAGAACCAAAAGAACATACAATTATAGACAAGCATCTCAGAACTTCCTTTCTGTTTCAATACTGATCAGCTGATCAACATCCCTGAACATTAAAGCTGGAATCCTTCACACTGAACTAGGAACAAGCACCACCGAACTCTTCTGGGTAGACAGGCATCAAAAAGCACTGTTAACGTAAGAACAGCAATCCTGGAGAGCATATCCTAAATCACGACAACGTAAGGAGCTGGCCATGGCTCCCCCCGCAGCCCCGCACCGAGCTTGCTAGCCCTCCTGCTGCTCCAGGCGTTTTTCTCCCAGCCAAGCTCATTGCCAGAGTCAGGCTGGGAAAACGGGGAGGAGTGAGCTTGGATTCAGATTTCTGTGAGACAAACCACAGTAAAGGCAGCTTCCTCTCTGCTCAACCAGAACCACTCTTGCCCTTCAGGGCAGCCTCTCTGTCTCTCACCTCACAACTGCATACGGCAGACCTGGGCTTAATCGAACTGGGGCAGCACCGCCCCATCTTGTCTGACCCTAGCACCCACGGCTCACACCGAGGCTGGAACCCTGGGTCCGAGCCAAACCCGTCCAGACTGATCCCGGCTTCTGCAGGAATGCACCCCCTGGAAAAACCAAATGTCCGAACAGAGACAAGGCAGAGCCTTCTCCCTCATGTAATGGCTCTCTACGAAAAGGAAATGGAGAGTGTTGGGGGTATGATCCACACATGCGGCTTCGAGCAGTCCAGGCCTCGGCCCCAACAAGAGTTCTCCTTCAGACAGTTAACCTCTGCATTGCTCAGTATTTATTCCACCATGAGAAACTCTCTTTAGGGGAAACCCTGCTTGCTATGCTGACAAACCTGTCGGCACAGCCTGCATCTACCAGGGCTGTAGGCGTGAGCAAGCAAGACGATCGCAGGATCGTCACACGAGCAGGATGCACGTGCGACATGCAAATTCCATTAACAGGATGCAACTTACTTTGGATTAAAACTGGCAGTCAGTGAATGAGGCAGTGGGCACTCAGAACAAGGGCGGGTCTCTGAAGCGTGCCTGGGAAAAGACCCTCCATCTGATCTGGGAAAGTCCTGACACAGCTCTCAACACTGACGACATAGACCTCGCACCCACAGCTTTCCAATGTGTCATTTCTGGCCACATCAAACACCCACGCCCTCATGTTTAATGAGCATTCTCAGGTATGGAAGGAAAAGGCATTCCCATGAGCTTGTTCACCACAGTCTTAAAAATATAAGGAGTCCTGCAAGATCAGGCTAGGACTCTGCCCACACAATGGCCAAGCAGGATGCCCCCAAGCAGGACAGGAGGGCAACGACACCCATGTTCCCCAGCACGTGCTGCACACAGGCATCCCACCCCCGATACGTCAGGACTAGGGGCCAGGCACAGCCCCTCCTCCATGAATTTGTTCAACCCCCTTTTAAACCTGCCCAAATTGATGGGCCTCGTTACACCTCAGGGAAGAGAATCCCACGGGTCGGCTGTGTGCTCTGTGACAAAAGCCTTTTGGGTTCTAATATTATGCGGGAGAGAGAAAGCATAGCCCCGTCCCCCTTCTCCATACCATGCATAATTCTGCACCCCTTGACCGTGTATCCCCGTTTCTCTCAAACAATTTCAGCTGTGATCACCACCCCTTACATGAAAGCTGTTAAACTACTGCAAGGAACAGCCAGGGGTGGTTATGATGGGAAGTTTTCAAGCAGATGCAACTAATCTGCTTGCTCCTACATAAGCTGAATAGCCCACACCAGCTTTCCCCAAGCTGCTGATCTTCAGATCTGTTGGATTTCAATTCCCATCATCCCAGCCAGAGGAGCCAAGAGTGAGCAATGATGGGAGCTGCACTCTGAACATCCAAGAAGAAAACCATTTTGTCCTCCAGAAGCTGCATGCAAAGGCCCAAAGTAGTCCGTCAGCAGCGCTGACCTTTGGGTTTTTCCTTCTACAATGTTTTTGCAAGATAACACTAAGCCCCGCCCCATCTCAAACACACAAACATGCTGGATCAGACACCAGAAATAGCGGAAACTTCTAAGCCCTGCACAAAATCTATTTCTACCATCAGAGAGTGTGCCAGATGCTCATTCTTATTTCCCACTCTGACAGAAGGCTCATAAATGTGCTTGTACTGCTACAGAATACTGCTTATTCATCAGAAGGCTGCCAGAAGTAGCTAAAAGATGAGTGCACAGCCCTGCATCCCATCCTGACTTCCCCTTCGACCTCAGCTGTTTAATGGAGACAGACAGAGAAGAGGTGCTGGCCCCTCCAAACGCCCCGACGATCTCAGAAGACCTCGTTAACCAGCGGGCCATTTATCACGGAACGCAGTGAAGCATTTGCCCTTGCTACAGACCCAAGAAGAGCATCTTAAGAGGTCTGGCCGGATGTGTTTATAACAAATCCACTCTAGAAACTTTCCATTGAAGCCCGAGTTCCTGTTATGGTTCTCCAAAAGTGAGTGTGGCTTGCAGAATTTCCTGCTCTACCAGCACAAACTCAGATCGAGCCCTACCAAAGGAGCAGCCCAGACAAAAGAGGAAACCGCTCAGGAAGAAAGCAGTGGCACCACGGCACTATCTGCATGCCTATGCGGGAGCGGGCAAGCACGACTGAATCTCAGCTTGACAGTGCCCCGTGCCACCCAACTGCCAGAGGAGCAGAGGGACCAGAAGGGGCACCAGAAGAGCACCGAGTGGTCAAGAGCAAAACCAGCAAAGCCCCGGCATGCAGGGCGCGCCCCGGCAGGAGAATCCCAACGCCACATCCAAAAGACCGCTAGAGGCGCTTGCCAAGGCAGGGCAAATCGCGTTCCCTTAAGAGGGGCCCCGCGTGCAGTCTGGCAGCTGCAACCTTTGCCTGCCTGTATCACCTGCTGGAGACGGGAAGGGGCAGAGCCACCCAGGTCCTACCACCTGCCTCCGCTGGCGTACGATGCAGGAGGCATCACCCACACACCTGCACGTGCATCTTCCTGGCTCTGTGGGCCAGGGAACGGCAACAAAAGCATCGGGGATGATCAAGCGGCCGGATGTTGCACCCGCTGCCACAGACCTGCGGCGTGCACAGAATCGGACCGGAACGTGTCACAGCCGCTCTACCGCTTGCCGCCAAAGCCAGTGTGTTCCGAGTGGCACTGTGCAGGCGCCGCTACTGCATCTGCAGCTGTCCCAGAGACACCCCCCCCCCCCCGCCGGCCCCTAGCCAGCCAGCCTTCTCCCACCATCCCTGGCTCTTCAGCAGACAAGCAGCATTGGCAGAACAGAGATCAGGCAGATAGAGAGACAGTTAGTGTGGGGAAGGAACTGTTAGTTACCGCAGGCTACGGGATACAGGGAGCTAAAGGTTAAGACACTCACGCTTCTGATTGGGTTAATTTCTCATTCCAGTCCTCCAGAGTGCTGCTGGCCGAAACATATCTATAAATACAACGGAGGTTAGAGAAGGAGCTAATACCGGGCTCATTTACTGATGCAATTATGTATGGGCCACTATGTAGGACATGGTTCTTCCGGGGCACTCCAAAGCACAATGGCCCTATGGCACAAATAAACGCGGCTCCAGTCATAAGCGGCTTGAGTCCCGTTTTTAAACTGGTTCTTTCTGGCTCGTGTTTTTTCAAGCTCCAGTTAACTAGGCACACAGCCATTCTGGGGGAGCTGGAGAGAGGGAGAACTCCTGCTTGGGGGTAACAAAAGCAAATTATCCCTCGTCCTATTTACTTTTCAATCATGTTAGCATCTCCCTCAATCTAAGTGGAAAGGACTGGAGAAAAACCACCCTCCAGGACTTCACAGTTAATAATTCACTGTATTTAGACAAGAGAGATGGATTCAATACACAGAGGTGCAACAGAACACCACCTGCTCCGGTTTTCCTCTCCCAGCAGGTGAACCTGCCTCACTCCCACCTTTTGCCGCGACATTCTTGTGTTGCATCTCTTCCACTGTAAAGTTTGTAAGCCACTCCAGGAGGCTTCTCGGGCTCAGGAATGGGATAAAAATACTTCAAATAAAATAAATACTTGCCAGGAATCCAAAGCCTGCTTTTATCATCAGTCTTGGCACCCTCGCCCTGCTTGGGTTTGGGCAACCGCTTAAGAAAAATGTGCTGCACACCTTGACTCGTTTTAACGTATTAGGCACCAGATTTGTTTGAAAGCACCACCCAAAGTTGAAACTGTTGCAGGGGAGGCAGCGGCCGAAAGTGGGCTCCCCGCTGCCATGCGCTGCCACCTACCGAACATGCCTTCCCGAAGCGCAAACCTGAAAACGAAGAAGCACCTCTGACCAGAATGTGCTTCCAGTCTAGAGCAAAGCGAGTGCTGTTTCTGGTTTTGGTTTTAATCCCTACATGCCTCCTCCATGGAAAACCACTGACTGGGAAGGGAGTGTGGCAGCGGCGTGTGCCCTCGGCTGCTTTTGGCCTGCCCACCACCCGCAAGGAGCTGCACTGCAGACTGGGTGAGGATGGAGACTGAAAAGCTGATATCCTTAAACACCGGCTAGGCCGTGCTAAGACGGCAGATCTGAGTGCCGAGCAGCCTCTGGCAACCAGAGCAGCAACACGTAGACGCACAGGTGGCCGTTGATTTTGGCTGGCGTTTGGAGGTAGCCTCTCCTCTAGCTTTCGTGTGAAGAGATCTTCCGCTTGAAGCTGATTCTACCGAGCTTGTCCATCAACCCAGGACTCTCGAGAGGGGCTGCCAGAAGAGGGATGGAATAGCCTGAGCCTTCCGCACCACCGGCGCCCAGCAGAGAAACCAGACGGCTCCGCAGAAGGGATGCGGATGCTCAGCCCCTTCAGCCAGCCTCCTCGCCTGTCAGGCCACAACTGCTGGCTGCCAGTGGAGATGAGGCCCGTAGCTAATGCCAGGCTGGAATACCGCAGGGACCCATCTGTACACTCACTCGGGTTCTTACACTCACAGCAAGAGCCAGGCTTGCAAACGGCCAGCCCTACTCAGACACACGTACACCTCCTCCACCCCCACAGCCAGCAGAAGTAGTGCCAAAGCACACATGTCCTGCACAGCTCAAAGCCCAGAAAGGAAACGGTGATGCAACTGGGCCCATGGAATTCCACACTCACTTTAAAAGCAAACATACCCTCAGGTGGTTGCAACTCCATGCATGCCTACACAGCAAGGTCCCACTGCAATCGGCCGGGATGCACAGCCTAGAACATTTGACAGCCACCTCACATGTGAAATTGCAGCTGCCACATCTCCTTCAGAGAGTGGCATCAAGAATCAACTGGCAGTGAAGAGGAGGACAGAAAGCTTGCCCTAGGTCAGGATTCCCAGGAAGCGCCTGGAGGGGGAAAGCAGCAGGCAGGCGGAAGCACCCCTGCCCAGCACTTCTGTGCGGCAGATTGTCTCCTCCAGACAGCTCTTGGCGAAGCAGAAGCGGCAGCCAGAGTTTCTGCACATGAGGGCTGTGACACTTGGTTTCAGTGTATGAGGCAGCACGGCTCACGGCCAGCCCTTCCTAACCCTGCCTCTCCCACCCTTCTGCCTGCCTCTCACAAGAAACAGAATTTAAATTATGTCCTGCTTTGCTTATGAGATGCAATCAAATTCCATGCGCCAGTAGTGCTAAATTTGCAAATCAGACAGATATTCAGAGGATCAGATGCAGCACAAGAGCTATCCCTGTTGAATTCCTGCCATCTTCCAGTGTCATCTGGTAACTGATTGGAATTTTCCTTCTGCCACACAAGGAAACATACAGAAAAGCTGACGAGAGGTCTTTAATCCTGAGTGTGGCCAGGAGATGCTTAGGGGCAAGGAGTAAGGCTCGACACAAGTACGCAAGAGGCCTGAACACAGCCACCCCACACCCAAGCACGCAGCCAGCCTCCTCTGGAGCCAAGAGGAAAGAGTGCAGAAAGCTGGAGGGCAGAACAAGGAGGACCAAGGTGGCGCTTTTAAGGCAGGAGAACAACTCACAACTCCGACTGCGTCACTTTCTCGTTCCACTCCCCAAGTTTCTCAGAGGTTTTCACATAACTAGAAACAAAAACCCAAGGGTCAGTCACCTCTTGAGAAAAGGGGAGCTAAGCTTCAGAAGAAAAGGAAGCCCAACATCCTGGCGACCAGTGATGAGATATGGACCACCTGGACCAGAGATGCAGAAGATAAAGCCCACGGACCTTGACAGCCAGTGGGGGCCCCACCTATGGCCTACCAAGCCTCCTGAGGGGCCTGCGGGGGGGAGGCTCAGCCTCCAGGTCCCAGCCCTGAAGAAAGTCCCTTGTGATGTCTGCCTGGAAATGCCTGAACACCGTGCCGCCCAAGCAGAGGTAACAGTGCGGGGCAGAGGTCACAGGGGACTCTGCCAAAAGTGAGAGAAGCAGCCATTCTTCCCAGGCACAACTGAGTCCCTCTCTCCAAGATGCCTAGCATGGAGTTCCACATTCCTCTCGGCACGGGAAAAGGCAACATGGGAGAGGCGAGGGTGGCCTGGCGCGGGGCTATTTGGCCTGCCCTTCCTCTGGCGCTGACTCCAAATTTAAGCCATATCCCCACAGGAGACAATGAAGCAGTGCCTCCTTTGGGGATATGGCACCACACCCCTTTGCAAACCATATTTGGCCCTCTGAAGTCGGCAGAGCGCCTCAGCTGCCTGTAGGATTGTCAGTGCGAAACGAGACTGTTGGCTGGGATGCATGGAGTGGCAAGCAGAAGACACAGGGAATGCTGGCCGTTTCCAACGCCACTCAGTGGATTCCACTTAATTACCAATGCAGTTAATGCCACAGACCACGACTTAAGGATCTGTCCCCCTTACACACAGGTAGGGCTGCCCCGGTCAGCAAAGGGCCCCACAGCCTAAGGGAGAGCTGGTGGTCCATGACCAGAAAAAGAAGCCTCGTGCAGGAGTCCTTAAAGCCACCTTCCTGGGAAGAGCAGCGAACTGCTTCGGGGTCAGAGAAGGGCCTCTCAGCTAAGATGTGTGTGCGGCAGAGGATGCTTTTTCATCTGGACAATGCCCGTTTTGTTTTTCCTGTGTTCCCTGAAGCCTCAACTCAACCACCACTCCTATTTATGCAGTCACACCTGAGAGAGAAGAGCATCCAAGAGAACACCTACGCATTGGAAACCTGGACGTCATGCCAGCTTTTTGAGAGGTTTTGCTTCAGGCCATCCAAGGGGGTCAACCCCAATTTCCTCTTCAGTTCTCCACAGTGTCTCTCTTTAGCAGCCAATACCTGTCGCAGGGTGCCAATCTCGTCCTCCACCTGCAAAGAGAGGCAACTTAAGAATGCATGTATAAGATCAGAATCTCAAAGTACTGGCAGGAGAACGCTGGGAGGTGTAGGGCTTCCTTCTGACTGACAATTGGCCCTTCGATCTATCCACAGGTGTTCTCCCTCAACACGGCAGAAGCGGCAAGCTGTGTTTGGCCCCGGGGGCCTGGGGCCACAGAAAGGATGCGGCTGGGCCTCAGGCGGGTAGCGGCAGTGGCTCCACCCAGACGCGAACGAACGCCTGCTGTGCAACCGTCTCCTCTCTCTCTCTCTCACACACACACACACACACACAGAGCGGCTCCCATGCAAAGCCGGTGGGTCAGAGAGACACCCCAGGTCTGAAAAGGCTGAACAGAACAGGCCCAACGTAACAGCGGCACACCTGACAGTTGCTAGGATGCCTGCTGGGAACGCTGGGCTGCAGAGGGTTTGTTCCTAAGCGCCAGCAGGCCCTCGAGGTCACTCCTGGGTCATCTACCCCTCCGCGGCCACGAGATTCTGGGCCTCCGCTGCTGTGGCGTGAACACACGGCAGAGGGAGTGTGCACGCCCCAGAGGTCAAGCGCACAGAGCTGAGGCTAGCCCAATGTAAGAATGCAACAGCTCAGCGGAATATCAGGGACTCAGCGAGGCAAACGCCTGTCAGAATACAAGTGTCCTCACCAGTGACAAGAGACGGACAGGGAGGGGGCCTCCTGCGCTTCCCAGGGGCCGGGCACCTCGGAGCACTGCTACAGCCACTGCAGAAGCTGCTCCTCCAGCACCTGATGCTCACTGGCTGCTCCTGGGCCACTGCAGAGGCCGACAACCTCCAGCCGTCCAGATGTTTTGGCCTACAATTCCCAAGATCCCTCGTCACTCACCATGCTGAGAGCTAGGGCCTGGCAAATCTCTTGGCCGACACATTGTCCACCCTGAGCCAGCCTCTTGCCCCAACTCACCCAGTTTGTTGAAAGGACAAACCAGGGCAAGGGGGAGACTGAATTACAAGGCAAAAGCTCAATGAACGCCAGCATGTCCCCAAGGAACTGCGGTTCATGCTGTGCAATATTTCGCAAGGCTGTCTAAGAACAGAAAGACCTCCAGCCACAAAAGAGGAATTAGAGCTCAGATTTGGATGGGAAATCTTAATGCTCTCCAGAAGTCAGGTTCTTCAGAGAGAGGGGGCAGAATAAACCATCCTCCCTTGAAGAAAGAAGAGCATAAAGCTCTCTCCAAAGGTCGCTCCCCTTTACCTTGGCCAGCTCAGACCTTAGTTCCTCTTCCTCAGCTTCAGTGAGCCCATTGTAGGCCGAGGTCCTTGGAGGGGGGGCAGAAGCAGCAGCACTCGCGTTGTCCACAGGCACGTCGGTCATCGTATCAGACAGCAGACCTTTGTTGGGAGAGTTAAGGTTGATATCTGTCATGGACAAGAAGCAAAGTGGGGGAAAGGATAAGCAGCCAAGGCGAAGCACGTTAGTCTGGCAGAGGCGCTCTTCAGAGATGTTAGCGGAAGGAGGAACAGAACATTCCCAGTCAAGTCTGACCAGGAGCCTTGCCAAAGCAAGAGAGCCTATCAAGAGCTACGGGCCAGTCAGCAGCCCACAAGTCAGAGGCTCAGAGGACAATTGTGCACTACCTGCTGTCTCCGAGAGCCAAGGAACTTCCGTTACTCCTCCAACAAACTAATCTGGCAAGGGCAGCCTAGTGAACCCGCCAGCCTCTCCGCAAAAACAGTGGCCAGCCCAGGGCGAGCTCCAGCAGCGATGCAGCAACAGCCCCAGGTTAGCTGGGGCATACCTTTGATAGACAGCCATTGCCACTGCCAGCACACTGAAGACTGTAATGTGAGAACATGCCACAGAGACGCTATTTGTGTTTTCAGGTGTACGTGTAAAAAATGTAATAGGATAGGCATCCGGCAGTACATATGCATAACAGCATGTGTGCATCCGCTTCCCTCCAAAAAGCTCCCTCTCAGTAGAAGTATGATGATACTGTTTTACCAAATCCATATTAGAAATACACAAGGACTGGCTGGGAGCACCGCTTTCCCAGGCCTCATGGTTCGGGGGCCTGAAGCAAACAGCTGCAGATTAAGCTGCAGATTATCCCTCTACATGGGAGGGATAAACAGAGAGGGCCTGCTTGTCGGACTTAGGAAATGAGAGCCAGGAGGGCTAGGAAGGCAGCCTATGAAGAGGTCCAGAGGTGGCATTCAAGTGCACACAGAGTGGCTACCTCTCTACTGAGCCTACCTCACAATGTTGTTGTGAAACTATGTATCACTTTGCCACTTGCCTGAAGGACAGGCGGGACCCAAGCATAATGCATGAATAAATTAACCAAGCACGGCCTCACTGTGATAGCATAAGGTGTATTCAAACAATGCTGAACAGAATGCAAGACTGAACCTGATTTTCCTAGGTATCTGCCTTGAAAAATGGAACAGTTAAGTTGTTAGGGGATTTCTATCGTGCTGCAGGCCAACAGCCAAGTAAGGCCAACCGGTTACTTACAACAGGTTAAGTAAGGAAACAGGTTGACTGCAGCAACAGTTTCCAGGCATTGCAAGTTGCCCAGTTGACACCAGGAAGAACTCACGGGGCTTTCTCCACCTTCTGTGAACCGTAGGCCTCTGTGTGCAGTGCCTTCCAGACGGGGAAGCAGCTGCATGACAAACAAGCTGCTGCCACACCCTCGACAGCTGGGTGCCACTTTCAGTAGCACACAAGGCTCAAGGGAATACGGGAGGCTTAGATATTGATGTGACTACTTAAGAAACAGAGAAGAGTCACACATGCAAAGCATCAAAGCTGCCTGGGGAAAAAAATGAAAGCAGAGGATCCAGAGCGGCACAAAGCTAGCGCACTTTGATCTCAGCCTAGCTCAATCGCAATTCCAGGCTGCTTGGAGAAGCAAACTATCCAGCCCTCTGGAATTCCATCACAGCCCCTCCAGCTCAGATCCTCTTGCCGTGGGGTCTCTGGGGTCATCAGTTAAGGGGTAGCATATGAATGAAAACTTGATCCAACGACGCTGGGGCTTTCCTCATGCAATGCTTCACCCTTTGGATCAGCAGTGTCAGAAGTCCCCATGCTAAAAAACCCTTGCTTGCTTCCCTCTCTCCCCCCTCCCACCCCCTCTAAAGTTTAACACCAAAGCTCCTTATGAAGCCCAACTGCCCTTGCTCTCCCTGCCCTCCATCACCAGCCCTTACAGGTCCCAAAACACACACTCCACACCTCCAGAGCAAGGTGTCTGCACTGCCAGGCAATGCACACCACTCCAAGCCTTGGCAAGGGGCAGAAGGCTTCCCTCAGTACCTCACGCACAATCTCAGCAGCTCACCCTCACCTCCAGTTTGCAACTCTTGAAAGAATACCCCCCCACACACACACACACACTCTGTAACCCCGTCTAGTCCAATCTCTTTTAATGCTTTTATTTTAGCTATAGCTTGATAATGGTGAAAACCACCTTGACATTTTTTTAAACAACGGAAATGAAAACATGCCCACGACAACATGTTTGTCAAGCCCCAGCGGCTACACAGACTCGTTCCTGCACAGCTGCGGCGCCTCCCCTCCGTGCCACCTGCTCCGGCGCGACAACATCCCACAAGCCCCTGCTCCCCACACCCTGCCTCCACCCAGGAGCAAGCACACCCTGTTTCGGCCTTGCCCTCGCCTGGCACCTCGAGCCATCCACAGCAGCTCACCCCATTCCTTCAAACGGAAAACAACGCTCTCACTCAGAAAAGCAGGACCTGAGCTTTCTTATTCCCGACACGTTTATGCCACGTTGGCCTCTCGCGAACGACCCAGGGCAGCCCTCCTCCATTTTAACCTCATCACCAACTGAGGGAGGTCGGTCGGGACTAGGCCACGGTCACCCCGCGAGCTTTCTGGGGCAGGCGGAAACTCGAACCCGGACCGCCCGGGCCCCAGGCCGACCCCAGCACAACTACGCCGCACTGCTGTGCAAAAGGGCGGGCACGGGGCCTTCGCCCTGGCCCGCCAGCTTTCTGCATGCAAGGCCCTGTTCGCCGAGGGTTCGGGGCGGAACGGCCCCCGCGCCGCGGGCCGAGAAGGCGCAGCCAGGCGCCCGTCGAGGGCAGCGCAGGGCAGGCCCGGCGAGCCCGCCTCTCCCGCCCCCGGGCCCGCCCGCCGAGCCCGAGGCGAGGCGCCGCTGCCCGCTCCCCGCGCCCCTACCCTGGCTGGCGCTCTCCATGTCGCCCAGGCCCGACACCGTCGTGCGGCTGCAGAGGCGGCGGCGGCGGCTCCTCGCCCGACGGCGCGACGTCAGACCCCCCTCACTTCCTGCCTGCGGACGGCCGAGCACGTCATCGCTCGGCGCCGGGACGCGCACTCTGAAGAGGAATGGAAGGTCGCAAGCACGCCCGCCCCGTTGCACTTCCGGTTGCCGACGGGCTCTCTCTCAGTGCGGGCGGCGTCCGGTTCAGCGGGAGATAGTCCGGAGACCGCGCGGCCGTTCCGCGGCGTGGGGACGGCCCTTTGTTTGGAGGCGGGCCACTTATTCAGTGCCGCCTGTCTCCATTATCTGCGCTTGTCTGGTTTCCTTCCCACTTTGGCGAGGGGCGAGGAAAAATTCGCGGGTCCTTCGAAGTGCGACGACGAACGGCAGCCCGACCCATTTTCGGCTTCATCCACTCAGGCCCCGCACATGGGGGATCTCAAGAACTGCGGTTGGGAACTCGAGGTAGCGGGTGGAATCTATTCAGACTAGAACCTCTTGAGGCTGCTGTTCCAGCTGTGGACCGAAGGGTTCCAGTGCTGGCGTAGCCCTAGTCCCATCATCCCCAGCCGGCATGTGCGTAGAGCCGAAGTGGGCGGGTTGTATTTTTTGGGATGGCTTCGGCCCCCGAGAAGGCCCTGCCAGCACGGTCAATGGTCAGGGAAGCTGGAAGTTGAAGTCCAACGGTCTCCCGCTGCGGATGATGGGTCCGTGATGTGTTCGCATTGCACGTGTTGGTTGGCTTCCCCAGTGGCAGGACGCCGGCGTTCTCTGCAACAGCCGCACGGTTCCCATGGCTACTCTGAGCAATGCGATTTGCCACTTCTTGCACTTAATTTCCTTCTGACTTGGCCGATTCCAGTCCTGTCTTCTGCCCCACCCGCCTGCCACCCCCACCAAGCGCCGTAAGAGCCATGCATCTGTTGGTCTTGAAGGTGCTGCGAGCGATTACCATGACTACCCCCCCCCGAAATTAGACCAACCTCTCATACATGGAGATGCATAAAATGGGGAGCCCAGTGAAAGAAGATGATGCATCAGTGAGAAATAGGCTGGGGTGGGAGGCGGGAAGCGAAGGAGGACTAAAACGGGAGAGAAATGAAAAAGCAGTAAGTGCCCACGGGGAGAAAGCTGCCAAGTCTGCCTTCCGCTCTTTTTCCTCTTAATGTTCTGGACTTCTGCTCCAGTCAGCCCCAGCCAGTATGGCTGATGGGAGCTGCAGTAGTCTAAAACCTCTGGAGGGGAGGGGGGTGCCAGGTTAGGGAAGGGTGACCAACGTGCACGGAGGCCTGTGTTACTGAGGCCGGCATTTCCCCAATGGACGTCCTCCTGGCTGCTCTGGAGCACAACCCGCCCAGTGTCTTTGGAATCTCTAGCAGAAGCGCAGGACTCGGTGGAAGCGCTTTGCTTTGCAGGCCTGGCGGTTTCCTTCCTTCCTCCAGCATCAAAGAGGAGCTGCTCAAATGGTTGCAAGCTCAGTGGCATCACTGGGGGGCCGGGGGGGGGGGGCAAGGCCTGTGGATTGGTTAAAAAAACCTGCCCTGCAAACCGGCTCCCTCTTGACTGGGATTTGACACCTCCAACCTTTCAGCACGACTGCAGCCAAACTAGTTTACGTCATTGTATTTATACCCCACGGTTTTTCCTGCAAGGAACCCCACACTGGTTTGCATAATTCCTTGCTGCTCAAAATTTATCTGCTCAACAACAGCCCTGAGAGGTAGGTTAGGCTGAGAGTCAGTGACAGCCCTGCTGTGCTTCCTGCCCTTTTACAAAGTTGAGGCCCATGAAGACAGGGCTTGGCCTTTCCCCTCGCTGCACCCTCATGATGGAGCTCGGTCCCCACTCCCTTTTACGAGTATCGTCACCAAGTAAGACCTGGCCTTCGCAGAAATTTTCCACAGGCTACATAATCTCTGTTGTTTGAAAAGGGTGTATGCGTTTAAAGTAAATGGTGGCCTATTTTAGCTGACTGGTTTATAATAATGGTGTGCTGCAAAGTTTATGATGTTATTATGAATTCTTTGTTTGAAACAGCTTTGTGAGTCATGGGATACACAGAGAATGTAGCATGTAAATATTTAGGCAGAGCGCCTAATGCACTTGCTGAATGGGGAGGAAGCCCACGGAGAGACTTAGTTTTGAGTCAGCTTGCCACAGAAGAGAATATCCTCCAACAACGTACAGATGGAGGTGTGGTGCCCCATTCATATTACATGTGTGCCCAAGCAACATTCCCAGAACTATAACTTTGTGGTCTTGGATTCTGGGTGGGAGTGGATTAATGGACATGTTCATTCACCAGGTAAATGGTGGGCAGGGTCTCGTGGAAGCTAAGTTGAGCCATGAAGGTTAGATGATGACTGGAGATCATTCTTCCAGATTGGCCACACCATCTCAGCAGGAAAGGGACAAGGTGCAGCCTGCAATTCCTGAATTGTTTGGCCCAGGAATTTCTGGGGACAGGCTCCATGCACAAGCTTCTTCCAATGCCAGCTAAGGAACAGGGCAGAACCTGGGTTGCTCCAAGACAGCCAAACCTGCAATTAAACCCCTGGCCTGATTTGGACTCCCCATCTCTGCATTTAGCCTCTCCACAAGAAGGCGTCAACATGTGCACAACCCCTCTTGACGAGCCATTCCCCAAGCCAACAAGCATGGACAAACCTTTTCATGAGGCAGCTCATAAGTGAGAGTTCATCAGCTAAGCCCTGCTGGGCCAGACACAAGGTCCGTCTAGTTCAGCACCCGGTTCGCATGGCAACAAACCGGCTTCCCGCAGGATCCCTCCAGCAGGATGGTGGCAAGACCCCTGCCTGTCCAGGCTCCATAGCAACAGGTACGTGTGGGCAGGGTGCCCTCCCATAGCAGAGGAACCAAAAGGCTGGTAGCCACTGATAGTCTTCCCCATGGATTTGTCTCCCCCATGGATTTGTCCCTTTCAAAGCCATCCAGACTGGTGGCCATCACTACTTCCTGTGGCAGCCAATTCCATAGTTTAAGTCTGCTATATGGAAAAGCCCATCCTTTGATCCCTTCTGAATCTCCCCCAGTCAGCAAATGTCTCCTCCTCCACACCGGGCATCAAACACCTCCAAGAAAACATGCAAAGGATGCGTTGAAAACAAGTCCCACTGTGTCTACTGGGGTTTATTCCCCAGATGTGTGTTTAGGGCTACGGAAGGGTTCCCTCTCCTGGCCAGTCGCCACCCTACCTTCCTTTAGCGATCCTGCTTTTTGGTCAGTAGGTGGCAGTATCAGTCCAAGGTGCGTCTTGTCTGGCATAGTCCTTCCAGAAAGGCTTAGGGGCAAAGATTCGCCTCCTCTTTTTGGAAGAAAACAGAACCAGCTCGTGGGAACAAGGGCAAGGGCTCAGTCCTTGGAAAACTAGCCTTCTGGGTCACAGCCTGGCTTACACAATAAACTAAGCTAACCTTTGTTAAAGGAGTTTCTGGGCAAATTATTCACAAATACCATTTCTGCTTTCAAAGACATCTGCCCTTAGCATGTTGCAGAGACCTTCCGGGTCTCTCCAGAGGACAGAATTTTGAGGACATGACCCTAGACAAGAAATAAGCCCTGCAACCCGTTGCAGTATTTGCCATCTTCCCCTCCTGTTTGCGTTCGTCTCCGCCTTGTCCTGCACACCTCGTTGTGTTCACTGGATGTGTGTGTGGGGATACCTTGGCAAAACTGTTCTGCAGACCTCAAAATCCCAACTACCACCCCCATACAGGAAAGGACCTGCAAGAGTCTCTGTGCTCTCGCCCACAGCAGAACCACACCCGGGATGCCTCCATCCCCCAGATCACAACTGTGAGTCAAGCGGCACCTGATTCCTCCTGGCCCACTGAGCTCTAGGGCTGGAGCGTTTCTTGCTCTCAAGGGTATATCCTCCTGGTTCTGCTGCCCACCCCTTCCTGGGCAGGTCCCGCTGGACATGAGAAAGGCTTCTCTGCTCATGCAAATCACTGGCAGATGGGACTGCAGCGTGGTGCCATGCGGTTGTTGTAGCAGTTGTTGTTGCTTAAGGAACAGGTGATGGGAACCCACTGCAGGATGGGGTAGGAGAGTGCTCAGGGCTGGAGAGGGACCGGAGCCTGCCCTGGTATAAAACAGCTTCCTTTGTTCCCTGCGCCATGTTATCAACATCCTTTGCTTCTGAACGACATAATTAGGAGCATCAGTTTAAGCCAAAGAGGTTTCTGGATTCGTCTCCGGGGAGCTTATTAATGCCGAGGAACACTAGTTTGTGGTTGCCTACAGACTGGCCCCTAAAGGCTTCGGAGGCCACATGCTGGGCTGCCTTGCACATCAGAGCGCGGGAAATAAAGCACAGTGGTACATTTCCCCTGCCACATGTGCCGGAGGGACTCGGCACAATCCTCCTCAGGGTGCCGCCGCTTGTTGTGTAAACCTGGGCAGAAGGCTTTGTTGCCACGAGTAACAAGCCACCCAGAGCCCCACAACAGCCCACAGGCCGGACTTGTTCCCCACAGCGCCGTGGCTGGAGTCACACGCCGTGGCCAGCCAGGGAGCCATTGGTGCGCGCAGGGAGCTAACGACCCACCGTGGCTTTTCAGCCACACTGGTGTTGCGTGAACTGGTCCACCCATTTATCATGGGGAAAGAGGTCCTGCGTGTGTTGCCAGGTGCCCCCGTGGTGAGCCGTTTGCTGGGTCATCCGAACCCAGCAAGGTGTGCTGTGCGGCAAGGCCAGCTTCAGTTCCACCTTGGGACCCACAAAGTGCTGCGCATAATTAGATTGCGTTAATCAGGGGAGCTGTGCAGCAGGCCCCCGCACACACGGTGCTGCTGCCCCTGATGAGGGTGTGACGCCAGCCACCGTCTCTGGCTCTGGTTCCTTCTGGGGTCACGTCTGAGCAGCCCTCTTCATCCTGGGGTCCTCCAAGACGTTGTGGACTACAACTCCCAGAATTCCTGATCATTGGCCACGCCGGATGGTGCTGATGAAAGCAGAAGTCCAAATATCTGGAGGCTGCCAGGCTGAGGAAGGGCCGCAATCCTTTGCGAGTTTAGAAGAGGGGAGAGGGCCTTCAGCTGTAAGGACTGCAGACCCTTTTCCCCACACAGCGTAACGGCAACAGCACCGCAATGCATTTCCCTACAAAACACCGTTCTCTCGGCAGCAACACCTGCCCAGCGACAAGGAGGGAGTGCCAACAGTAGCTTAATTTACAGGTGTGCAAAGCTTCCCAGGAAGCACTTTGCCCACCTGGACCCGATATCCTGGGACCACACTTGACATTTTGTTGCATTAGGATGGTCTGAAAGCGGGGCAGGTCTGGGACTGACCTGAGCTTGGAGGAGAGACCACCTGGGACCCGCATGTGGCCACCCTGAGCTCCACAGTGGGAGAAAGGTGGGATACAGACATAATATATACAAGTTAGAAATTAAATCTGCCTCATGGCTCTCCATTATCCTACCAAACCACTGAATCTAGCTCAAGCCTGGTAGGAAATTAGGTACATCTGAGCATATGAAAACCCCTGCTGGAAAACACCCAAGGAGCCGGCTCTGGGTTGCTGGGCGGCATGAAAAGGAACTCTGGACATGCTCTAGTGGCGGGGGGAGGGGGCCCTCCTGTTTGGGAGCTAAGCCATGCAGCAATTCCAGCTCTGCTCTCCTTCCCCTTCCCTGCTGTGCAGAAAAGCGGAACCCGCCCCTACTTACTGCGCATGCCTGCGGCTCTAGAGAAAGACCGGTGCTGTCTGGCAGTGCCCCTGAGGGGCAGAGAGCTGATGGCCCACATGAGCCCTGCACCTGCCGTGGGGAAACAGAAATCTTGGGTTCGCAGGCTTCAGAGGTGGCCCCATAGCGCTGAGGGAAGGGAACGCTGGAAAGGGGCTGGCTCTGAGTTGCCATGTGGACCTCTCCCCCCACCCCCCCCCAGCGCTGATCCGCCCTGGTCCCTTCCCACTGCAGGCCCATGAGAGACAACCTGTCCTTGTAGCAGTGACCCCGTGTTTCCCAGGGCACCTTTCCTGAAGTCCGCAGAAGCCACCCTGTGGGTCTGCACCGTATCTGCAAGCAGCTTCTCTCCCCCCACACTCCTGCACTCACCCTTAGGGTCGCAGAGGAAAGCTGAAAGGCTCTGAGTCGTGATTAGGGCTGCTTTCTGGGTGTGGACATACTTGACTTGACCCACCTCTGCAAGACTAAGGCACTGATTAGAAGAGACAGAGCAGGGCTTGGTGTGGGCCAGTGGTTAGAGGGCTGGAGGAGGACACAGGAGGATTGGATGGATGACCCCCCCCCCCCCCCCCCAGCCATGAAACTCACTGGGTGGCTTTCAGACAGTCCCTGGATCTCAGGCTCACCTACCTACCTGGAACTGGGAGGTGCATTTCCCTCTCTCAGCAACTGATGTTTTTGATAATCTCCCCTCAGAGCTGGTCCAGGCTGGGACCAGTCAGGGAGCTACGGAGCATGAGGTGGGCCATTGCAAGCTCTGGCTGAAACGCTGCCAGCTGTGCTCCCATACATGTGGACATTTCTAGGGGTGGAGGGGGGTTAGGGTCAGATATGCAGGTGATGCCACTCTCATGGCAGAAAGTGAAGAGGAACTAAAGAGCCTCTTGATGCGGGTGAAGGAGGAGAGCGCAAAAGTTGGCTTGAAGCTCAACATTAAGAAAAGTAAGCTCATGGCATCCAGTCCTCTCACTTCCTGGCAAATAGATGGGGAAGAAAGGGAGGTAGTGACAGATTTTATTTTCCTGGGCTCCAAGATCACCGCAGACGGGAACTGCAGCCAAGAAATTAAAAGACGCTTGCTCCTGGGGAGGAAAGCTATGGCAAATCTAGACAGCATACTGAAAAGCAGAGACATCACCCTGCCGACAAAAGTGTATAGTCAAGGTGATGGTTTTCCCATTTGCAACATATGGCTGCAAAAGCTGGACCATAAGGAAGGCTGAGCGCCAAAGGATTGAGGCCTTTGAATTGTGGTGCTGGCGGAGACTCTTGTGACTCCCTTGGACTGCAAGGAGATCAAACCAGTCAGTCCTAGAGGAGATCAACCCTGACTGCTCTTTCGAAGGCCGGATACTGAAGATGAAACTCAAATACTTTGGCCACCGAATGAGAAGGAAGGACTCCCTGGAGAAGAGCCTGATGCTGGGAACAATAGATGGCAAAAGAAGAAGGGGTCGGCAGAGGATGAGGTGGCTGGATGGGGTCACTGGGGCAATGGGTGTGAGCTTGAGTGGACTCCAGGGGATGGTGGAGGACAGGAAGGCCTGGAGAAATGTTGTCCATGGGGTCACGATGGGTCAGACACGACTTCACGACTAACAACAACAAGGGGGTTTTAGGGCAAAGAGAGAGCCCCTCTGCTCCAAATTGCCTCTCCCAAAGTGCAGCCTCCCCCTACTAAAATTGTTCAGCTCTTTTTGATGCATGCATTCACATGCAGCAGCTTTCCTGGATTACATCTCATCTGCTAGACTACAGTTCCCATCCTTCTCAATGATAGGCCCTGTGGTTCAGCAATCTGTAGGCCAGCAAGTTGGGAAGGTTCATTTACAGCCCATTATTCTCATTATTATTCTCATTATTATTATTTAATGGGAAGAATACATGCAGACAAAATGTTGCAGGAGAACTTCTCCCCTTTGTGTCTCCAGCCAATCTCACACAAGAAGTTTGCAATTCTCTTTGGGCTCACAGAGTGCAGCATGGCTGGAGGATTCTGGGAGAAGAGAGGGGGAAACAAGGCATTTTTCTCTCCCACCCTCCTGAAGCTTCCTTCCACTGTTCTAGATAGTGCTAAAAGGTCCCTTTTTTGCAGCAACAGTTCTGGAGAATGGGAAAGACAAGAGGCATCGCCTTGTATTTAATTTTGAATATACTGTGCAGCTCTTTTTGAAGTCCTTTGGGCCAAAGATGCCCAATGCAATGAACAATTTAAATGCATTATAATTCAATGGCAAGCAAATTTAAAAGCACCGTATACTTAAACATATTTTTTAAAAGTTCAGATACCTTAACAGCAGCAAATACCATTACCCCCTTTTCAAGTAAAAGCCAGAGAGCGCAGGTGTGCTTTGAAAAGGCCCTCCTCCATGCAGCCACCAATGGAGCTGACTCTCTCACAAGAGGAAATACGGTACGATCCACCACTGAAAAGGCCTTCCTCCAGCCCCCACCAGCTTTACCGATCTTAGCGGCAGGCAGTTGGAGGGTCTCCCCAGAAGCTCTTAAAGTGACTGGTCCTCAGGCCCAAATCTCTCTCTGGAACCTCTGCGTGTAAAAGAGCATGAGGAGCTTTTGAGCCTCCTGGCACATCTTCTCCTCAACCTTCCTTTCCACTGCAGTATATTACAAACAAGCCAATACCTGCGTTGCCTGGGACTCAGGTAGGCCCATCCCTCCACCAAGCACCCCAAACATTCTGCGGTTCAGCTGCCAGCGACTTTCCATGGGTCCTGGAAGCCCCTTTCTAGATGCTCTTATCAGGCTGTTCACTTGCTTTTTGTTTCTGATTTCCTCTTTTGGTCCCAGTTAATTTGCTTTTGTGTCCACGAGGCCCACCATGCCTGCCAGTTAATTGCAGAGTCCAAGCTAATTGGTGGGTGAATCATTTTGCTTCCAAACTGGGCCTATGGGGCCACCCCAGTGTGGTATCAGAGGGTGCCCAAGTCCCGGAGAGATAGCCGGGTGAATCCCTGGAATTCAGGTCCAGTGGACTGAATAAGGGGAGGGTCTCCCCTTATCCGAGAATGCTAAGGGAGGAGAGATGCGAAGGACTAACAAAAAGAAACGTCTCCGGCTGCCTTTGGTGGGGGGGAGAACTCCTAGTACGAGCACTGCATTGCTCGAGCCGATTTCTGGGAGTAAGGAAAAAGGCGGAAGGGAAGCAAGGGAAGGTGCATGTGGGAAATGACGGTGCCGGCGTTCCCAGAAAATTAGTGCAAAGGAAGCAGATTGATGGCGCAGTAAAAGCCTTGCCTGGAAGCACCTGAGCTGGATGAGCCACGGCAGGGAAAACACTAGAAAAGAAGGAAAACCCTAGGAACGGCTAGGCGGTTTGTGGAAGGGAGGCAGGTAGCCCTCAGTGCTCCCTGCCCCGTGGGATGGGATGGGGCTCCAGGCCCAAGATCAGAGGCCAAGGCAGGTCCTGAGCCCCGTCTTCTGGCACACGTGGGTTCAAGAACACGCCGAGCAGTTGGGAACAACCCGGAAGCCCCACAAGAGGAAACAGCAGCATTAAGATGCCTGCCTGGATATAACTGGCTCGCTTTTGTCATTGGTAAAGAACGAGGGGGTGCACAGAGGGGAAATTAAAGGGAAGGCGAGATCTCAATCCTGCCAGGCAAAAGGCTGGCACTTCCAAATCACCTGACCCCATTTGTCTGACTCTGATCGCGAAACCTAAATTGCTCTCATCCCTGTCCAACTGCGTGGCGCTCCTTCCCTTGCTCCGAGGAGTGGCCTCCCCGCTATCCGGGCATTGTCACTGCTGACTCTGGGGACAGCGGCCCTCCCAGGCCTTCCCAAAATGTCATCCTGTGTTTGCAGGCCTCCAGGAGGTCAAGCACGGCGATGCCGCCGCCACGTGGTGCTGCCAGCACGAGGAAGAGCTCAGATGACGTCCGGGTTCTGCTCCACAGCACACTTGGGAGAGGCGCCAGCCAGGAAGGGCTGCCGACAATGGAGCGATGCTCAAAAGGGGAACACCGTTGTCCGCGTCTGCCTCAGCCCCAGTTCAAAGATTCAACAAAGCAGGTCAGCCTGTCCCAACCAAGCGCTCTTCAGATGTGCTGGACTATAACTCCCATCTCTTTCAATCAACGTGGTAGTTGGGGGGTGATGGGAGTTGTCGTCCAGCACATCTGTACAGCGTCAGATGGGGTATATGATTCGCGGAAGAAGACAATATGGGCACACAGTTAGGTATTCCAAGCCCCTCTCTTTTTTCTGTGTCTTTTGCTCTCTCTCTCTTCCGACGTCCCCCCATGTCGCCCAGCTATAACTTCCAGGGCATCTGGAAATCGCTGGGCTTCAGGAGAGACCAGTGTGTGGTCTCCACGTTCCTCATGTGCTTCCTGGCCAAAAACACCGCCATCTGCTTCTTTTCTCGGCAGGTAATGTACTTCCCAACCCTCCACGGGAAGTGGCTCTCGTGTCCGAGGCTGGATCTGTAGTCCCGGAGCTCCTTGAGGCACCAGTCGTCACTGATCTTGTAGCGTCGGTAGATGGCCTCCTCCTGCTTGGGGCTGGCAGCCCTGAGCCAGTCGTGAACCGCTTCCAGCCCCTCCTGGGACATGACTTCGGGGTAGCGATGCTCCAGCAGCTGCACCAGGAGCGCATTGGCCCTGTTGCACCTGAGATTAGTCACCCGGTCCTCAAGGCCAAACGGGCAGGTGGTGACGACCTCGTCCTTGGTCCTCCGGATGAGCAGCACGGGGCCGGCGTACCTGCACAGCAGCTCCCCCACGTTGAGGTTGAAGTGCTCCTTCACCGTCCGCACCACCAGCTTCTTCCAGCTCTTGGGCATGACGTTCAGGGCCAAGGGGAGCAGGTCGTCGAAAGTGGCGTCCAGGACCAGGGCGCCTAACAGCGGGTAAGACATGGCGACCCAGGCGGCGGAGTAGCCTCCCAGGGACCACCCGTACATCACGACGTCCTGGATCCGAAAGCCCAGGCGGTGCAGCGCGAAGCGGACCACCACGTCCACTGCGTTGGCGTCATTCTCTGGGTAGGGCTTGCCCGTGCTTCCGGCAAAACCAGGGTGGTTCCATCCCAGCACAGAATAGCCAGTCTTCAGGGGCGTGGAAAGACAGCCCCACTGGTAGAAGCTGACGTTCCCTTCGCAGCAAACCACCAGGACGTTCCCCGGGTGCTCCGTTTGCCCTGCTTCCTTGCTTCTCCTGTCCACAAACATGGTGTCGATCTTATTTCCATCCCGGGCTACCAGCTTGGCACGCTTCCCGTTGTAATCCCTCAAGAGGCGAGCCTGACCCTTGGCCAGGACTGGTAGTAAGGCTTGGTTCAGGAGGAACACTGAGCCCGGGTACAACAACCAGCGACCGAGAGAATGGGCCATGATGTAGCTGGCCAGCCGGCTGGGCATCTGCTTAAAGGAGCTGAAGATGTTCCACGCCGATGGCCTGCCTCCATCCGCCCGCGTGGCCAAGGACGCCGCCGCCAGCAGGCACGGTCCCGACGCGGCTTGGACCATGATCTGGCGGCCCCGACCTCGGCCGTGGCCACTCTCGTCGTGGCCGGGAGGGTGTCTGTGGCCACCAGCCTCATCCCATCGGAAGTCCACGGGCCAGTTGCCGAACTCGAAGTAGTAACTGGCCAGAAAGTAGGTTTTAAATACGTGGGCAAGAGCCTTTGGAAAGCACAAGACACACATGGAGAGAGACCGTGGCTATCCTCTGTGATGCATAAACTGAATAAAAAGAGGTGGGGACCAGGAAAGTATCCCCACGGCTGGTGTCTCTGGTGTTTCTGGTGCAGGACTTGCGCGAGCGTACCTCTACTCCGCAGAGGCATGGTGCTGGCGGTGGGACCTGTCGGGGGATCTCCCTCCAGCCATGGTGCACTGCTGCGTGCGGGCCCAGGAGCGGCCTCCTTGTCCCCCCGCTGCTCAGGCGTGGGTCACAATGAGCGAGGTCACCCCCTTTTGTGAGCGATTCATCAGGGGCCTTGGCTCAGGGGAACCCGGGCAGCTAGTTGCAGCAGCCGCCGCTAGAAGAGGCGGCGCTGGCCCTGGAAGGGCAGGGAGGAATCGAGCCCGGAATCCGCTGTAATACTGAAACGGCCCGTATTCTAACGTCGTTTGTCCCTTTGCTTACCGACTTCTGCAACACTCTTCTTTCCTCACACGACCCCAGCCTAGCTGGGCAGCTTGAACAGAATAAAGGCTTCCGGTTAGAAATCCTTGGTCATGGCCTGCATGGAAGGATGTGGAGAAGCCTGGATAGGACCCTGAGCTCTGTCGTGAGTCGCTTCGCAACATGAAGCCACCCTGAGAACACCCTGAGGGTTGCTTAGGAGGGCTTGTTGTGACATCCGAGCCCAGCAGAATTGCCCCAGTGTGCGAGTGCTTAAAATAACAAGAGCTGCTTGGAAGAGCGGCAAAAGCCTCGCTGGCCACTCGCAATCTCACAAAGACGTTCCTTCTCTATTATGCCTTGAAATACCTGAAGGAGCACCTCCTTCCCTGTGTGTCCTCCCACCCCTTGAGATCTGAGTGGAGGTCCTGCTCCGGGAGCCCTCCTTGAAGGAGACCAGGAGGGAGAGTACCTGGAGGAGGGCCTTCTCTGCGGTGGCGCCCCGATCGTGGAACACGCTCCCCAGAGAGGTCCGCCTGGTGCCGACATTGCATTCTTTTTGGCATCAGGCAAAAGGTTGATTTTTTTCTTTTCCTGTCATTTTAATGTTTAATTGATTTTAATCGGGATTTTATTATTTCAAATTGGGTTTCGTTTTATTCTACTTTTTTATTGTAAGCCATCCCAAGACACTAATCGTGGATGGGATGGAAAAGCTTTTAACAAACAAACCATAAAAGACTGTCAATTTACTCTTTTACTTCCCTAGACAGCAGCAATCTTTTTCCACCTTCAGGAAGATGTGCATGTTTAACTTTATTCATTAATTCTGAGACTATGAATCTGCTAAAACATAGTAGTTACCTTGCTAAAGTGGAGTATTTACTGGAAATCAGTGGATTTGTGCCAATTTCCCCAAAAGTTTTTTAAAGAGAACTTTACCTTTGTGTAAATTGCCCTGGGGGGTGGGGGGGGAATGAAGTGTGCACAGATCTCCTTGGAAGTGGGGGAAAGAATGTTAAATGTGTGCAAATTTTCCTGAAGGTGAAATAAAGGGCTACAAAAACCCTCAGCTCTGCTAATAAGTGCAAATTTTATCCTCACAACAACAACCACCCTGTAAGGTAGGTTATGCCGAGATTGGCCCAAAGTCACGCAGGGGCTAGAAACTGGATCTCCTGAATCCCAGGCCAGCACTCTTAACAGCCACAGTTCCTTGGATGTCACTCTGAAATTACAACTGCCTGTCTTGAGCCCAAGAGACAGGGTGGGCCAGCAGTGTATGAATACATAACAGCAAATGTACGGGGTGGAAAGAGGGAGGCTGTGTCCACGTGGTTTTGTTCCCCAGGGGACTGCCAGATCCAACGCCGGTGGCAGTGGCTCGGTGCGCCTTGGAAACGCTGCGGATGGAGCTTGCTGACGGGTGTCCGGGGCTACTCCTGTGTAGACAGCTGCACCAACATCAGCCAGACCCTTCAGCCCTGGGATGCCCTCCAGCTGCCTGACACAGCGCAGCCCCTCGCTCTTCCCTCAGACTCCCCTTGAAGCCTGCCGTTCCCCAAGACCTCAGACCTCCCCCTTGCTGTAGCTGCGCCCGAGGACCCGCAACTCTGGACAGGCATTCTGACTCTGTGTTGCCTTCACCTGCTCCTCCCTTTCAACCCTTTTGGCAAATTTTAGCACAAGCTCAGCACCTCTCCTCCAGTTTCTTCCCTTTTAAAGCACCATGAATGACAATAGCTCAAAACATAATAAAGGTCGAATTGAACTTTTTGCCCAGGCTTATCCAAGTCTCCTGCCCCTCTGAGCCAAAGTGCTCAGGGCCTTACTCTTTCCCAAGATTTTCAGTGGAGACACCAAGCATTGCAAGGCCAAAGCCTCTGCCCTCCTTGCAAATAATGTTTCTGCTCCAGCCTCTTGTTTTACCTCTCAGCTTGTGACTGATATTCCAACGGGGGTGGCATATCCTTTCTGAACCCGCCTCCCCGCAAAATAGTGCAGCCATTGAGAAAGGGCGGTGTAATAATCCCCAGCTGCCAACCTGATGGGTTCAGTGTGGAACCAGAAACTAATCGTTTTAGAAACAGAGGAGAAATATAGAAGATTTTGGATACCTTACTAGTATCTCTAGGGTAGATATGCAGGCAGGGGAAGTGGAAGATGAGGTTTCCTTTTGCCGCTCTGACACAATGACATCACAGTCGTGCCCAAATGATGTCACTGCACTGGAACTGTGAGCTCAGCTTGGGTGATGTTATGAGCCGCCTTGCTACGAACGGTACATCTGAATAAGACGCTGCTGTATTCTCCACTGGGCCAATATTCTCCCTGTGGCCTTTGCCAGCTCTGCAATGTGTGTTGTTTACCCGTTTGGAGGCGTTGGTGTGAGAAAACTGGTTAACTGGAGAGCTAGTGTGGTGTAGTGGTTAAGAGCATGGGACTGGGACTCAGGCGATCCGGGTTCTAGTCCCCGCGTGGCCATGGAGCCAACTGGGTGACTTTGGGCCAGTCACAGACTCTCAGCCCAACCTACCTCACAGGGTTGTTGTTGTGGGGATAAGATGGAGGAGGAGAATGATGTAACATAGAAACACAGAAACAGAGCAAGTCAGAAGGGGTCTCCCGGGCCATCTAGTCTGACCCCCGGCTCCAGCCGGCTCCACTCACGACATGCCCGCCATGTGCATGTCCAGCCTGTCCTTGAACACCCGCACCAATGGGGCCTCTACCACCTCCCGTGGAAGCCCATTCCACGCCCTCGGGGTCCTGACTGTCAGGAAGCGCTTCCTGGCATCTAAACGGAACCTTGGCTCCCTGAGCTTTGCTCTGTAAGCTTCCTTGAGCCCTTTGTAGGAAAAAGGCAGGATATAAATTGGGGGGAAATTAAAAAGTAAATAAATATAGTGGGGCTAGGGAACAATGGCTCATGTCTTGTAACCTTGCCATGGGCTCCTTCAGGACCACGCAGATATAACACCCCTTCAGTGCAGTAGGCCCCCTCCCGAGGGAGTATGTACAGCATCGCGACTTACCTGGAAGTACATCCAGCTGAATGCCTTGCCATAGGGCTTGCTTCTGAGAAGACATGCACAGGCTTGCCCTGTTAATTCCCTATGTGAATCTGTCAGTGTGCTCGAAATAATACCTGACCCTTCATTCCTGGGCATAGTCCTTGACCCATTGGTGCAGCTCGTTCGCACATTACTCGTTTGCCACACTGAATCCTGGTTTGCTTTCTTTGGATGGGAAGAGTTGTTTTCCCCTTCCTTTGCCATTGTGACATTTCCCAGCGGCTTGGCTGTTGCCTTGGGAAATGTGAATGTTTTTAGATCTAAGAGGCAGAGTTGTGCTATATCACATCACTAAGTTTTATTTCAGACGTTATGCATTGCTGTGTTTAATGGCCAGCACTGTTCTAGGATTTCATCATGTATCTCTGCTGACACAATAAAGTTATATGATTCCGTTCTTCTGGGTATTTCATTGACTTTCTGCAGTGAACAGTGGGATATTCCAGAATGCATATTGCCTAAGCTCTGTGTAATTACCTAATGCAACTGGGCCTTAAAAGAGGAAATAAGAGGCATGCCGGGAGGCAAGAAGGGAAACCGGCTAGGGCTCAAGATTTGCACCGGGCCTCCTTCCCTCCTGGCACTAAGCCTAGATGGCTAAACATGTTTGCCTAGAGAGAATGTGAGCCATGAGCTGCAGCAGTGACGGAGGCCGCTGCCTCACACTGCAGCTTTCACTGGATGCGCGGAAGCCTTTGATTTCGGGCTCTTCTGCCCATGGGATTGCATCCTCGCTGTTGCAAAGAAGTCTGTGTTCTCACCCAACCATGATTTGTGGACGGCGGTAGTGAGGGCACCTGACGGCCACTGCTAGATTCAGAAGACCTTGAAGACTCAGTGAAGGGAGTCTTAGAAACTCTGGGAGAGGCAAAGGCTAAGGCTTCCAGGCTAAGCAGGAGAGTTGGGATGTTTTGGAAGGGTTGGGGTCCAGAAGGGGTGGGGGAGAGCTGTTGCCTTGCCTGGCCCCCGGCCCCATGACAAGATCTTTGGAGAAACGGTGCCCAGCTGGAGGGCTTGTGTAGGTCTTGTTGGCTGGCCCTTCACTTGTGGGATCCACCCTGGTGGTAGAGTCCAGAGAGGTACTGAAAAGGAATGTTTTGGGGAAAAGTTCCCAGTTTGGGTTCAGTACTCTTGACATGAGCAGAGGCTTAGTTTCCAGCTTCCTAGAGGGTTTTTAGGGTTACTATGTCTTGTAGCTGTGGAGTGCCAATAAAGAGCGTCATTGCAAAGAAACCGCCTGGTATTCTGGAGTCGAACGGCACAAAGGGAAGCACCGAGCTCAGGACAACGGTAGCCATTAACCACCTGTGCTCTTTTTCATTTTGGTTTCCTCGGACCACATGGTTTCCTTCCCCCGCCCCCAATTTGAGGCTAGCCCTTCCTGCATCGGATTGCGTCAACGGCACAAGCGCCTTTGCTGGTGCTGCTGCAAGAGCGCCCCCCGCTACCCCGAAGAGATCTCCACGCCAGGACCTCCCGTTCTCCTGCGGCGGCATCAGATGGAGCCATCAGCCCATCCGCTTTTTCGTAACTGCCCTGGCTGAATAACCGCCCAGGACAGGTGGCTCTTCTGGGATCGGGCTGGTCAAGATGCCTTCCAGCTCCTTGAGTACCCTGTGACTCTTAACGCCGAGATTCCCGTAGAGCTCTGAGTGGTCCTGTGGCCGCGGTCCTGACCTGAGGAGGACTGACCAGCCCCGTCACTGTCCAGTGCTGGGCCTCAATGGGAGCTGAGAGGGCCCAAGGAGGCGCCAGGCAACGGGAACGACTCACGGACCCAGCTGGTGTGACCATGACAAGAGGCTTGGCATAATGCCTCGCAGCCACATGGCTTCTTAAGTTGTGCGAACCCCACCAGGGTGGTCTGTTGCCGTGGTCAACAAGCCGCTCCAGAAACCACGGTAGGTCATTTTCGCTACCCACATCTGTTGGTCTACTTAGCATAATAACCCTTGCTGCTTATCACAACATCCAGACTCGGCAAGACAGGTGACTGGCTTGGTTTGCAAGCCACTGTGAAATCCCAGAGCAAGCCAAGATTAAACTTCAGTAGCTTGCTTGCTAATCTGCCTTTATCTGACCGCAGTCCCTGATATTATTGCAGCAAGAACAGAGCTGATCTGCCACGGGGAAGTCGTTCAGGTCACTCAAGGCAGCCATAATATGTACTCCAGCTTTTAGGGCATGTGGAAAGAAAGAACTTGGTGCTTTCCTGTTGTTTTTTATACTTTTCTACTCTGACCATGTGCTCCTACCCAGCTTAGAGCCAGTGGGTAGTGACCTTTGCAACCTCCCAAACATACGCAGAAAAAATAATGAATCCTAATTTTTATCTCTCTCTGTCTCTCTCTCTCTCTCTCTGTCTCTGCCATTGAACTGCCACCTCCCCACTAGAGTTTCCAGGGCATCTCAAATTCCTCTGGTGGCAAAGTTCGCCCGTGAGTGGTCTCCACATTCTTCAAGTGCTTCTTTGCCAAAAACAGCGCCAGCTGCTTCTTCCTTGTGGCTGATAGTTTTTTCCCGACTTTCCAAGGGAAGTCGGTGTTCGGTCCAAGGCTTGATTTGAAGTACTTGAGCTTGTTGAGGCACCAGGTGTCGTCAACCTTGTACAGGTGGCTGTAGATGAGGGTTTCCAGCGGGGGGCAGTCGGCTGCAAGCCAGTGGCGCACCACATCCTCGTTCCCGGAGATGATGTTGGGGTACCGGGACCTCAAGAGCTGCATCAGCAGCTCGTTGGCCCGGTTGGTCCCGATGCGGGGGAGGTGGGTCTCCGGACTGAACTCGGTGCTCGTGACTTCGTCGAGGGTCCTTCGGATCAGCAGGGCTGGCCCTGGGTACTGGCAGAGCATGTCCACCACGTTGAGGTTGAAATACTCTGCCACCGTCTGCTTCACCAGCGTCCTCCAGGTCTTCCCGATCACCTTCGCGGCCAGGGGGAGCAGGCTGTCAAAGGAGGCGTCCAGGACCAGAGCGCCCAGCTTTGGGTAGGCCATCCCGGCCCACGAGGCCGTGTAGCTTCCCAAGGAGTAGCCGTAGATGGCAATCTCTGGCAGGCTGAACTTGAGCCGATGAACGGCATACTGGACCACGACCTCCATGGCATTGCAGTCATTCTGGGGGTAGGGCTTGCCCGTACTCCTCGCAAAGCCCGGGTGGTTCCAGCCCAGGACGGAGTACCCAGCCTTCAGCGGCGTGACAAAGCAGCCCACTTCATAAAAGCTGCCGTTCCCTTCGCAGCAGATCACCAACGTCTTCCCTCTTCTCCCCGGCGTCCTCTTCTTCCTCCGGTCCACGAACATGGTGTCGATCTCGTTCCCATCGCGGGCAAGCAGCTTGGCCCGTTTCCCACAGAAATCTTCCATGAGACGTGTCCGGGCGTGCACCAGCAACGAGAGGGGGACTCTGTTCAGGAGGCACACAGAGCCGGGGTAGAGCAGCCAGCGGCCGACGGAGTGGGCCAAAACGTACCTGGCGAGTTTGCCGGCGCCGTGCTTCACGGTGTGGAGGACGCCGCTTCCGCTGGCTCTCGCCCCTTCCTCCTCGGCAACGCCGGGCAGTCCCTGGGAAGGGCCGTTATTGCCGGAGGGGATGCTGCTGCAGGAGCTGCTGGCCACGGCGAGGCTGCCACAGCTGCTGGCGGTGGTGCAGCTGTGGCTGCTGCCGGTGGGGTTGGCGTAGCCGCCGGCGGTGGTGCAGCTGCGGCTGCAGGCCTCGTCCCAGCGGTATTCCACAGGCCACTTCTTGAAGGAGCGGCTGTCTCTGAGAATGAGGCACACCTTCATTTTGTAGCACATGCCAGGGATCCTCGGCGAGGTGCGCAGGAAGCAGCCGACGGAGTGGCGGGGAGGGGCCAGGAAGCAGTGGGGGGAGCTGAGCGGCTGCTCTGACTTTCCATCAGGGTTTCACCTGGGAGAAGACAGACAGCGTGCCGCCCGAGCGCATCATGAGAGGACTGCCCTGCCTTCCCGCGTCCCGTTGCTGCTGTTGAGGAGCTGCCCAGCTCAGGCACTTCCTCCAAGAGGCGCCCCAAGTGGCCAGCCGCTGGACGCAAGGGTAACAATGAGCAAGGTCAGCCCCTTTGTGAGCAATCCCCCCTGGGGATTTGTACAGGAGAGCCAGGGCATCCAGGCCGCCCTGCTGGGGCTCCTCCTGGGGCAGCACTGCCTTCCCCACGCCGGTCCCCTCCGGAGGCGTTCCTGGCAGTAGCTCACGTTCCAGGCTGAGGGGGTTGCAGTCTGAGGCACCGGGGCTGCACCTGGTTGAGGAAGGCCGGGGTGGGAGCTGCTGGAGCAGAGCCCGGGGAGCACCCACCGGGCCGCACATTTCCCAGCCGCCTTCACTGGCCCCGGGGAGGCCGGGCCGCTGCTCCCATGGGGACAGAAGCCACCGTGTTCCAGCCTAACCAGCCAGGCCGTGCCGAAGGCTGGATCCCCTTCTCCACCCGTTCTGGTGACATATTAGCGTCTTCCTTGGATCGCTGCCCTTCCACAAAGCACGGCGGCTGCAGGTTCCTTCCGGTGCCGTGAGTCTGGGGGTTCTGCTGGGTGCTTGTCGGCATCCCACCGGTACCTGCCCAAGCACCACAGGAGCAGCTTCTTCTATTCTTCCCTAGACAGCGAGGTCTATAAGCCGGGAGCTTCAATTGAAATGACAGACAAGTCTCTGGCTCAAGGAAGAAAGTCATGCAGCCACTGGATCAAAACTCCCGATGCCCCTGCGCCTCGTCCCTCCCAGGTGTAGCCCTGAAGCTCACCTGGAGCTCCTTCTGGGAGTGAGGCCGCCCTCTGTTCTGCTCTTCGCCATGAGGCACTGCAGCCCAGCTCAAGTCTCCTCCTCGGGGCCAACCCTTCCGCAGTCTTCCTCCCAGCAACAGTGGAAGCCCTCTTCTTGTCCCTGCTCATGCATGTCTGTGTGTTAATTTTTACATTTGTATGCCGCCTCCTGCTCCAAGTGAAGTCTCTGGGCAACACTTAAAGTTATAGCCACATGACTTCAGGCTAGGGGTGTCGGGAACTTAACTGGTATGTTCAATCAGCTGTGCTGGTTCTCTGAATGGTTTATATACAATAAAACATAACAATATGTTAAAACAAATTTGCAATAAAAACATTCCAATTAAACAATAAGTAAAAGTACACAAAACAATTTGCAGCATAGTTAAACAAATTAATAAATATTAAATCCCAATAAAAACCAATAAAAACAAGAACCACAACAGAAACTCAAAGACCTGCCACAGATTATTTATTTATTTAGTAAACTTCTATGCCAGAAGATAATAATAATAACAATAGATAATAATAACTTATTGCTTGACCATTAAACTGCTGAGTGAATAAAAATGCTTTTGCCTGGTGCTGGAGAATATACAACGTTGGTGCCAGGTGTACTTCTGTGGGGAGCAAATTCCATAAATGAGGCACCACTACCAAAAAGGCCCTTCCCCAGGTAGCCACCCTCTTCGCATCCTTTAAAGGCAGCTCCCAGAGAAGGACCCCTGAAGATGATCTTAAGGTAAGGGTAGGTACATATGGGTGGAAACGTTCCTTCAGGTAATCAGGTCCTAAGCCATTTAGGGCTTTGTATTAGCATACAAAGCACCTTGACATGGCCCCAGACCACAGCTGGTAACCAGGGGAGCTTGTGCAGGACTCGCGATCTCTGGTCTCACCCGCCAGTTCCTGTAGGCAGACGTGCCGCTCTATTTTTACCACTGCAACTTCCGGCGTGTTTTCCAGGGCAGCCCCACATAAAGTGCATTACGGTAGCCAAGCCAAGGAGCCACCGGGGCATGGATTACTGTTGCCGTCTTCTGCCTGCCCAGGTAGGGACCAAGCTGGTAAATCAACTGGAGCTGATGGAAGGTGCTTCTGGCAATGGTATACAAATTGTTTACAAATCAATAATGAAGCAATGGCAGTTATCAGATAGAGCTAAAACAAAGCAGCTGCTGGTTGAGGGGGAATGGATCCCATGTAGGGCTGCCATTCCCAAGGGGCAGGTGTCTGGGTGCCCCCGGGAGGACTGCTGGTGGACACCTTTGCTGCTGGCTCTCACAGACTCTGCAGCAGCCGCCCCCAACCTGGGTGTCCTCCAGCTGCATTGAGCTGCCGTTCCCACGCTCCAGGGCTGCTCACCCGTGGACTGATGCTCTGCAGTCCTGGCCAGTTTTGCCATGGCAGCCTTGCATCACCGGGGCACCGAGGTTTGTGATACAAGGGCAACTTCACAGAAGTACAGGAACAAAAGTCCGGGACATTGAAGAGGAAGGTTATGCTTTCCTTGGAAGGGGAACTGTGTCCAAGCCTTCGCTTTCAGAATCCGCCAGAGGCACAGCTCTTCCACATGCCCTGTTTGCGTAGGAGCCATCTCAGTGCTCACACCGTGTTGTCATCAAACCTTGACTACGGACGGAAGCGCTCTGCATGCTGCACTAGGGTGATCTCCTGGCTAGCCTTCTCACAGCTTTCCCAGCCTCAGCCTCTTGGTCACGCGGATGTGGACATCAGAGAGGACATGGTCACTGTGTCATGGGGGTGGTCAAGGAGCTCCACATCTCTTCAAAAATTGACTTTGGAGCCACTCGGAGGCATAAGACTTCCCAGTCTAAATCATGGGTGGGAACTTCCCATGGCTTTGGCAAGGGGCGGCATAGAAATGTTCTAACAACAACAACAACAACAACCTTTGGCACTCCAGACATTTCCAGACTTAAACTTCCATTCTCCCCGCCATTGTCCCTGGAGGCTAGAGTTGATGGGCGCTGGAAACTGTGGAGGGATATCCTCAGAATATTTCAGCTGTGCTACCAAATGTGGTGGAAGCGTGAGGTTCTGGATAATCCTTCTCCATGGCATCCGATTCAGGAAAACAGGGTAGGTTTCTTCATCTATGTCTCTCTTATTTAAACACAAGATCAGGGTTCATGGCACTCCTTGCCACAAGGCCCTCTCAACCATAGAACCAGTGCCACCCAAAATGCCCTCTGCATCTCCCAAAGATCAATAGCCTGCTTCCTAAGGGCAGGTATGGGACCGAAGCCGCAGAAGAAACACAATAGCCAAAGAGAAGGTGTTTATTAAGGCAATTAGGCGCACACAGTGCAATCTATCAGATAAAAGGAAGGGGTGCCTAAATGTACTTAAAACAATTATGCTTGGCTGCCACTCCTAATCAGAGAGTCCTCACTGCTAATAAGCTCTCAACAGCTTTCCCTCCCGATCGTGTTTCCCTGAGGCGGCTCCAGCCAAGCCCTAATGGCCAGGACAGAAGCTGAGCAGCGGTTTTCCTCTGCCTCAGCTCTTCCGCTTGCTTTTGGGGCGATGCCGTCACCTCGGGGAGTGCTTGCAGAAAGCCCTGTCAGGCCAGCTCTGCCGAGAGCCCTCTGGCCTTGGGGTCAGAGCCTGCATGAAGCTTCAGCATCACCTGCAAGCTCAGCCGTGTGCCACCTGCTCACCACCAGCCCTGGATGAACAGCAGCGCCGGTGGCTGAAGCAGAGTGAGGCTGGCCTGGGGGGCTGCAGTGAAGCCTTAGGCAAACTCCAGGCAGAGGACTTGAGGCGGACGTCTGCCCAGACGGGACTTCCAGCCAGTCATGGGAAGTCCCTGCGCTGCAGTGCAAGTCTCGGTCTGGATGGCTTCTCCTTCCCAGCTCTGAGCACCAGCTCTGTTCTGGCCCACCAATTCCAACTGTCTCTACGATTCTAGTGCATCATTTGACATTTTGACATTTCCTGGCCAGCCACGTTCTGTATGGAACATCTGGTTGCCAACCCTCTTGGGTGCCCCACTTCGCCAGTCCAAGCAAAGGAAGCTCCGCCCCGTCTTTTTCAAGCCCAGCTTGAAACTGCCTTTCCACAGCAACCATAACCAAGGCAGCAAAAACTGTTAGGCCATCTGCACAACCGTCTGGTGAGGCTTCTGACTCACGCTGCTGCGTAGCGTCCCTCAGGGGTTACTTAAAGGATGCTAACCTCGCAGGCCATAAGCCAAGGATCAAAAACCTACAGCCCTCCAGGAGTGGCATGTCGGTGGGGCTAGGCATCCACTCCATATTTCAGTCTGAAAGTACAGGAGCCATCTGTGGTGCTGAACCTGACCCCCAGAATAGGTTCATCACTATGGATGGCTCCTTAAATGTTTGGGGCAGATCCACTGACAGTATTACCTGCGTGTCAGGCCTGGAAGAACGACAAAACTTTGCCAACACGGAGAGAGATTAGATAGGGAGGGAGGCAGACATGAGTCTGTGAAAGCCTTCCAGATGTTGCTGAGCTCCAAGCTGGGCTTCATCCAGCCCAGCCAGCATGGCCCATGGCCACGGACAACGGGAGGTTCCACGTACCACATTTCTGAACATGTCTGTGCTTCTGTCTCTGCGCTTCCTTAACTTCTTGCCAGCCTGTACAGATTTGGAAATCACAAGCTTTTGAAAATTCTGTACCCTGAGATCCCCTGGGCTTTTCCCCTGGCAAAGAAGCAGCCCCTGGGGGCAGAGAGCAGGGGGAACCTGCCCTACTCTTCCCCTCTAGGAAGGGAATTCTTTTTCTTTGCACTGTCCACCACAAGGGTGTCTTCCCAACAGAGCACCGCAGGCAGAACAGAATTGCAATCGTGCAAGACCAGCCTCGTGCCAACCCGGTTCTTTGGACTGCAATGGCTTGTCGTCCTGACCGTTGGCCAAGCTGGTCTGAGGATGCTGGAAGCTGCGGTCTGATATCTGGAGGATGGGAAAGCTAACCCTAGTTCCCTGACTTTCCCAAGTGCAGCTTGCAGAAATCCTCACTCGGTCTCA